AACGAGGGACAAGAATCTTCCACAATGCATTGCTGCCTCTTGTAAAGCTCATCTGCTTAAACAGCGCAGCAGCTTCTTCAGCATCTTTTCACAGTAAAGTGATGTGAGAGAGTGGCTGTTAATTTAGGGTTTTTTTCATAAACTTCAACTCCCCTCTGTAACAGGTTAATAGTTGCTCAGGAGCACATCACATTGTTGCAGGCAATGATAGCATTTCAAAAGAACAGAACTGCCTTCACCCCAGTAATGATGAGGGCTAGGGAGTAAATCCAGAGTGAGGAAGTGCAGCAGCATTGAAAAAACCAGCAACATTCAAACCAACGTAACTGGGCAACTGGACAACTCTAGAACAACAGGATCCAGCAGGGGACAGGATAACGTTGTGGATCATTTAATCCGGAAAGAGCAGCAATACAACATTACGAAAAACTCCTCCAAATATTCGAAAAAATACATTTGCTGAGATTAACATTTGCGTTGACAATTCCACCACAGTTTCCCTAAAAGTTAGGTCTGCTCAGTGATCACCGTTGTCTTCAGGAATACATCGGAAAAGATGGATTACAAAAAGCACCACTCTGCATCAGTTTTTATTTAAAACATATTACAAGATGTTAAAATGTTCCTTGAAGGTTGATGATGGATGAAAATCACCACCATGTCACCTAAAGTATTTGTATATGCATTTTGATGAGGTACCTCTGACTGAAGAAACACTTACCTCTTTCAGGGGAAAGTTGGAAACACAAAGGAATTATGTGGAAGGCAAGCTGGTGACTTGTTTTCTATGAAAAAGCCAAAACGTTCTTGCGACAATTGAAAACTCACCCTTTGCCCTCACCTTCACAGCTTGCACCATTTCCATTGCCCTATTAATAACATTCTCGAACAAATAGTTGAAATCACAGACGCTGACGGCCCAGGTCAACTTTTTTTTTTTTATTGCATTAGAATTTTTTTGACTTATTGAAAAACAACTGAAGTTGTAAAGTAAACATGTTAAGGCCAGTTCGCATTTCTTCTGTGAGTGCAGGGTTTTTTGCTCTATTTTTTTTTTTTTTTGACCGTAGGTCACGGTAATTAGACTGAAAAATGTCACAGTTTTTTCAGTCTGCACTCATGAAGATACCTCCACCAGATGGACTTGTACCTTTACAGACATTTCTAAATTAAGATTTACTCAGTGGGACCCACCTGTACAAAAAGCTTGGCGCTATCTTCAGGCTCTTTTCACCAGAAAAAGTCACATTCAGAAGGACCCTGAAGATCTCATCTTGCAGAATTCCAGTATTTAAAACATAGGACCAACGGTTAATATCTTTGACGTACCTGACCATTCTTCTGAATCATTGTCAGGCCAAATTGTTTGACTTTTAAGAGGTGTCATGTTATGGCATGTTTGCCATACTGTACCAGCAGCACAGCGCCATCTTCAGGATCCTTTTATAGTTAGTAATAAAACAAACACAGTCAGAAAAACCGCGGACCCAAAAGGACACCATGTTACTGTTTTAACCCAAAAGAGTTGGTAATAAATTAGTGTGAATTAGTTTTGGTGGGTGGCTCATGTTAACTACATGCTGTAACTCATTCGCTGTAGGAATACAACAGTTCAACAAACAGTTGAAAACAATGGGAAGATGGAGGGTTTTTTTGTTTTTTTTACTCTTCACGCCAACTGTTGGGTTTCTCTTTTGATGTTATTGTCAGGTCTCGGCCTTAATATGTAAAGTGCCTTGAGATAATGTATGTTGTGATGTGGCGCTATAAAAATAAAAAATTGATTTGATTCATTATGATTTAATGTATCTTGTTCCTGAATTGGACCATTCAATTGATAAGGCTTAGTTTTACAGGCGATACTGATCTCTGATCATTTTAAAACAACATCTTTTAACACTACATATGTTGGGGTGAATGGTAAATATATATATGTGTGTTAGGCCTCCACCTGTGAATAACCATTCAGTGCATCAGAAGACCCAAGAATTCCTGAGGTCATTAAACAGGGTGAGACTCTCTTGAGATCCACAGGCACTACAGAGACTGGTCCCAGCTGTGAGGAACCGCAGGAAAGCACAGTGAGTCTAAAAACATTAAGAGAGTCTGATGTCAAATTTGTCTGTATCTTCCCCACCCACATTGTCAAATATGAAGTCATTCTTTTTTTCCTTTGCAACTTGTAGGTTGTGAATTTAAAGTGGATGGCATTTCTGAGTCCAACCCCTCCCACCTAAGAGAACCGGACGTGCGCAGCTACATTTACCAGGAGTCAGACCTCAGCTGTTGAACTTCAACAACAATAGAAACTGAAAGTATCTCAACTCGACTGTATTGTCTGAGGTGTAGGTGACATGGAGATACAGCAAAAATCCCCCTCTGGTGGGAACTTAATTCTTGGGGAAGCACCTAGTCCTCATAAACTAATGTATGGGACATGAAATGACATCATGACTAGATATTTGTCACTGGGTTCTGTCCCCCGTGGGTTTTTGGGGTTTTTTTTGGGGGGGGGAGGGGTTTAGCTTTTCTTTTTTCTTTCGGTAGAACCTTGCGAGGGGGAAATGATCAGACAGTGTCAATCCAACTTTTTTTTTTTTGTAAATAGACAACAATTATTTTTGGCAAAAAAATCCAGATCTTTCTATTTGTTCAACTATATCCGTAATTGTGTCACTGTTTCTCTCACATTTCTATATCTAACAGTTGTCTTTATTCACTAAGTGATGATCAAGCCTTCACAGCAGGATAATGTGGTTTTCGTTCTCATGTTTTTCAGCATCTGAACTCAGCATCTCACTTTCGTTATGTCTGGGTTTTTTGAATATGTGAAATGATCTGTGAATCTATGAGTTTTGACTCCATCTTGTGGACAGATGTTAAAGTACAACATCTCCCCGTCAAAGACGTTAGTGATATGTTTTGGGACAAAAACATATCACTAACGTCCAGTTACATTTAATTTATTTTTCAATAACAGTTATTATGTTAAACATAACAGTTATTATAGTGTTAAACATAATTTGTGCCCCGGTTTGCGACTCATGTAACTAAGTCTTTTAGAGCTGAAACCTGAAGAATACAAACGAGAAGTTTGTTGCCGGGGCGAACAATTAAAGGCCCGCCCACATTGGACGCTGTTCTTTGTCTATTCGGCCAATCAGAATACTGTCTCGCACGGGTGTTTTAACCGGCACACACGAACGCTGATACCTTTTTGTGGTTTATGTTCTTTTCTCAAATGCAAACTGTGCTTTTTAGGTGGATTCGGGGATTCTGCTCATAGGTTCCGTGATCCTAATGAGAGGAAGTTTTGTTAATTAAAAAAAGGCGTTTGTCAGGAAAGCTAATTTACCAATGTTCACCTAGTAACAACGTCACCCTCTAGAAACAGGTAATGGGAAAACTTTCTATTCCTGTCTAAATTACTGAAATGACTGAGAAAATGATTATACTATTGTCTGAAACAAATACATACTTTATTTATTCTTGTATTCTTTCGATAAAAATATTTTACATCTTAGAAGTTCAATTTCGGTATGCAATGCTAACTGACTAGCCCGCGTCTGTTAGCAACTTAAATATTAATTATGAAAACTGACACCAGAAAAGTCAGAAGTTATTCTCGTTGAGAATGTGTTACATTTAAAGAACGTGGTGTCTTTAAATCTTTCAAATGTCTTTTAAGACTGTTTATTCGAATTAGTTTATCAAGGTAAAAGCTAAACGCTACACTACAATTTGGTCCCCGAACACAAATAGACTGAGAATAAATATAATAGAGAGAGTCACCTTTGTCAGGTTGTGTGTTTTGAGAATAAATATAATATTACAGGGAGAGTCACCTTTGTCAGGTTGTGTGTTAGTGTGACCACTAACTAACACACACACACACACCTTCCAGCCAGGTTAGAGGGTTACTATGACAGCAAGTCAAACTTTTACTCACTCACCGGTTCTTTGGTTTATTTCCGCAGGTGTTCGAGAGAAAACCAGAAAACTGCAAAAGGAGAGACAGGGACTAAAAAAGGTAATTTAAAAACTCCAAAATGATACATCAACATCGAGGTCAGTCTTTATAACGTTTCAAAGATGTTGTGCAGCTTGTTCAGGGTTCTGGACATGCTCTTGTCCTCTCTGAAGTACTTGTGTGACCCTCAGATGGCAGAAGCAGACCCTGAGGCCTCCACTGCTTCCCCTGCTGGTAACTTTGATCCTGGAATACACTCAGAGCCTGAAACAAAGGTCTCAACTGAAGTCCAGTTGGTTATGGAACAGAGTCCAAATCAAGAAGTCCAGCCTGATGGGAAACAGAGGACACAGTCAGAGCTGGAAAACCTGGATAGGACTGGAGAAGACAAGGAGGAGGAGAAAGTTGAACGGGGCCAACCCAGACCACCATCCCCTAAACAACTCCACAAAGGTACAAAGGTCCAAAACTAGACAAAAGATGGTAAAATCCAAATGTTGACCCTGCAGTGACAGAAATTGACCACATGAGGCAGTAGTGATCCAAAACAAATATAATTTTAATTTTTCTCTTAAACCTCAGTGATAAGAGAAAGCAGCTAAAATCTTTCAGATTAAAAAGGAAGATAAAGTAAGATAAAGCTTGTATTTTTACCTTCAGCACGAGGGTTGCTCAAAGAATGAATTATAAATATAAACATTTAATATTTTGTGACTTGGGCTCCTATCGTCCACATTTTGAGTGAATAGTTAAGCGACACCTTTTTTTTTTTTGCAATACCAGCTGTTAACAGCAGAGGTCACCGAAGAATCCACGGACAGAACCTGACAGCTGTGAATCCAACGTCCCCCGTACCGGCTCCAGCAGCCGCAGCAGCTAGCACCTCAGTGAGTAGTTAATGGTGTCCACACAGCAATGTTAACATTTTTTATTTCAACATATTTTAATTCACACTGTCATTGGTTATTGTTTTTTTTTTGTTTGTTTTTGTTTTTTGACCAGGTGTCTGGTGTTTTGTTTGTTTTGATGTCCAATGACGTGAGGAGAGAACTGGCAAAGCAGATGAGAGCCACAAGGGAGGAGAGACGAGTCAAGCTTGATGCCCGACACAAATACCTGATTGGTATGCTAGAGGGCGCTGTGCCACTGAATGAGACAGAGGTGGAGGAGGCCATTGTTGGTGATGACAAGGTCATAAAATGTTAATTTATGAATTAGTTAATTAATTAAAGTCACCATTTAAAATAAAGAAACTTAATCAATTGATTAATTTATAAATTCTATTTTTTTTTAGTTTGGTTTCATTGAAGACTTCTTTGCAGCAAATGGATCAAAGTCACTGATTTTCTTCTATCAGAGTGTGAAGCAGGTACATAATTCCTATGATCAGATCAATAACAACCTTCATTTTTCACATAATTTATGTTTAATCTGTCATACCATGATATTCATGTCACTACTACACCAGTAAATAGAGATCTGTTTTTTACTTTATGTCAAAGCATTTGCTGACAATAGATTTGTCTCTTTTCTGTTTTTTTTGTTTTGTTTGTTTTTTTACTAGAACCAAACATCCAGTTTTCTGTCTTTTGTGGACGCGTCAAATTCAGCTGTGACTCAGCAGAAGCTCTTCATCACTACAGGAATCTCTGAGGTAAAGTAGAGTTTTATACCTGCTACATATACGTACATCCAGTAAATGCTATTGAAATGTTCCCCAAATATTAGCTGTTATCTGAGTAATTTAGCCTATCTGGCAAAATAACTATTTTTCCTCCTGCCCCCTGCTGGTAGCCATTGTTTAACTCAGTCAGATATTTCCACCATAGATTGTTTACTGTTTCCATGAAATTAATTTCTCCATGGCATCAGTTTTGTTCCTATGTTAGTGATAATGAGAGGAAATGTTTCCTGTAACTATGGTCACACATAAGTCTTGTAAACACATCTTCAGTTTCACTTGTGGACAAAGCTCATTCTTTTTCAGAGACAATGCAGCAGACAATTTATTTGGATATTACCAGAATGACACTATGTATTACATAGATAAGACAGCCTGTGTACAATGAATAACTTACTGTAGTATTGAAAGCAGTTTTACAACCCACTTTAAAGCAATGAAGGTTGGCTACAGAGGCCATTGAATATTGTTGGCATGTGAATATTTTTAGTCTCTGTTGGTAAACTTTCTGTGGTAATTTGTGTCTCAATGTTTTCAGCCTTTACATGGCAGATGTCTGTTTTTCATGAGAACCACTGAGAAAGCCATCACTACCGCCAATGTCCACCAGGTCAGTGGCTCTGCCTGTTCTGTATTAACTGAGCCAGTGGCTCTGCTGTCTATATGCCATATTTGTCTTGATAATGTTAGGCTAATCATTCTTACCCACATTTTGCATTAACTGACACTTGAAGTAATTTGTACAGATGTGACATAACGTATGCTAAATTGATGTAAACTAATAAAATCTCATAGAGCTAGATATACTGCTGATAATTTCAGTTCTGTTTTAGTTGATTGTTTCCTGTTGTTTGACTTTTTTGACTTTCTATAGTTTTGAATTTACTTTAAAATTACAACAGAATTGCAACAGTTTAAGTAGAAGAAGATGATTTGAATATGAACTGCCATATCCTGTCTTTTCGCAGGAAGTAGACTTTGCCACCCTGGATGGCAGCGACGGTGCTCTGCTGCAGAGCGTTGAAACTCTTCTGGGTGACGTCATGTTACCAGCTGTCAGGGATCAGCAGGTACTGGACATGCCTACGTTTTTGTTCTCACTTCACAACAAAATGACATGGTCACTGAGCGTTCAGTCCTGGCTACCTGCAGGGGGCACTGTGCAGCCTTGCGATTGAGGCGCTGGTGTCATCTGTGGACCATTTCCTCTCTAACCTAAGCGCCACCAGACGGATTCTCGAGAGTAGGATCCAGCTTCAGCAGGTTGAAGTTCCTGAGGTCATGGAGCAGCTGAGCAGCCCCTTGGACTACACTGCTGCAGGTGAGAGGGAGCTCCGCCCTTTATCAAACCATTGTCTGTATGATACAGTCATACCTCAAAATCTTAAAATACATCTATTAAAACACAAGTTTTTTTTTCCTCTCAGCCAATAACAGTGAACTGGTGGAACGTCTGGAGGGCGTGGCCTCTGTGTGGACCAATCAAATGACACAAGTGCTGACGGAGAGCGAGCAGATGAGGAAGGAGGCAGACGATGTTGGACCGTCAGCTGAGCTGGAACACTGGAAGAGGAGAATGGTTAAATTTGACAGGTTGCTTGTGTTTTAATAAAGATTTGCCTTTAAAAGCTCTGACAACATATTTTTTAATGTAACTACAGTAACTTGTTTTTATTGTTTGTTGTTGTTAGGCAGTTTTTTGAACTCTTGATAAGATGTTTAAATGCTAGCTAATAGATTTCATACATTCATAGAGTTTTGATTGTTCACAAATTTCTTTCCACTTTTTTGGTCCCCGAACACTTTTTCTTTTTTTAAGCTGCATTTAGGCAAAAACATTTTTATTTTTTATTCATACATTGTTCACTAGATTGTTGTTTATTTTTTAGCAATGTGTAAAACATTTTCTGATCTTCAGTCTAGTGGAAGAGCTAAAGCTTCCTCAGGTGAAAAGGATTCTGGGAGTCCTACAACTGGCTCGGTCACGGATAATACAAACCTGGAAGAAACTGGTGAACATTAAACATCTAAAACAAGAGTTCAGAATATTTTGTGGTGTCTGGTTCGTTGCTAATCTAGGTGATTAATTTCTTGTTTTTAAGGATGGAGAAATCACAATGAAGATGCACGAAGCCAAAGACAATGTGAAATTCCTGTACACACTTGACAGGTTCTTCAGAGTGATGGAGAAAAGCTCACCGGTAAAATTGTACCTTTTGTTTGTAAAAAAACAAAACAAACAAAAAACATCTTTGAATCTGTATTCTATTTCTGTTCACCCTCTGCTGGAAAGGCTGGTGTACTGCAGCATGTCCCTCAGCTGATGAGCAGCATAAGGTTGATCTACAGCGTATCTCAGTACTACAACACCTCAGAGAGGATGACATCACTACTGTTGAAGGTTACTAATCAGATGATTAGCACCTGCAAGAGTCACCTCACCCAGGGCGCGGCCCACATCTGGGACCTGAGCAGGTGATAAAAGACCAGGTTGCATGAACTAAGATTATCTGAAATAAAGACAATTTTTTTAAAAAAGTCTCCCTCACTCTGTCTCAGGCCTCTTCTTCTCCAGCGTATCTCAGACTGCTGTGGTCTGAACAATCTGTACCAGAGAAGTTTCAGGTCTGTCAGAGACCAGCTGAGAGAAAAACCTCGCAGCAGACAGTTTGACTTCAGGTGACACCAGCACACCTATCAGCATTTTCTTAATCTCTTTGTTCTCTTCACTTCCTTTCCCCCAACATATCATTGTTCTTTACTTCTACCTTACACCACATTCCTCTATCTTTCCCCCAGACACCTAATTATCTCCTCTCATTTTCTCTTCTTTCCCAGTAAAAATTGTTAATTTTATCTGGTGACCTGCGACCACACTAATTAACTGTGGATTTCTTTTCAGTGAAAACTGCATCTTTGGAAAGTTTGATGCGTTCTGCAGACGTCTGCAGAAGATTGCTGACATGGCGTCCACACTGGAGAACCTGTCAGCTTTGCAAAATATGAAGGTGATGAAGATTCATAAAGTTGAAGTGAGACGCATTTATAAAAAAAATAATAAAACTTCAAAAATCATGACTCTACGATTTGGTTTTTAGCTTGATGGTGTTGACAAGATTTACATACGCTACCAGACACTAGTCTCCACAACCAAGTCCAAGACCTATGATGTCCTGGACCACCGCAGATTAGAGGTGGGTGACTCTTTTCTTAAATTCCTTCGAGCCTATCACTGGTGTGTTCAATTAAACAGGACAGAGTTTAATTCCAAGTTCAAACTAGTCATGTCATTATATTTTTGCACATTTTGCACACTTTTTGGGTCATTCCTATTTGGTCGTCTGTCGTGGGATTTGCCCAATGGAAAATATGTGCAGTGGTTGTGAAACACTGGCTTACATGACTCTGCAAACCCTCTTTAACGCTGTTTTTTTTTTGTTTTTTTGTTTTAGTTTGACAGCGACTACAGTGCTTTTCAGCTGCACGTTCAGACGTTGTATGACTCTCTCCAGTCTTTGATGGACTCCTGTTTTCATCAAAATCTCTCTGTACGGTAATCACCATTTGTGAGCAAATGTCTCTGTGTGTAAGTCTTTTCTCACAAATTGTGTCTGCCATGTCAGATTAACCGGATGCTGGAGCTGCTGCCGTTGTTTGAGTCTGGCCCAGCAGCAGGTCTGGACCTAAAACGCTGCCACCTGCTGCTGCTGCGGCGCTACAGTGGTGAGCTGGAGCTGCTGAAGAGGACTTTTCACAAACAAAAAGAGGCACCACCTATCGGACGCTGCCATCCACCGGTACAAACCACTGTCCAGAGAGAGGCTGAGAATGTTAAATAACAACCTACTACTACAGACTTCAGTCTCTACAGCTGACTTTATTTAAAGGGTTCTTTTTGTCAGAAGCTGCAGAGCCACACTATGACTGACAGCTGTCTTTCTCAGGTGGCAGGTCGCGTACTGTGGTCACGTCAGCTTTTCAGGAGGATTGAAGCCCCCATGTTAAGCCTGAAGAAGAAGATCGACATCCTTAAGGTGTAGCATCTGTTAATGTTACATCTCCAGTTATTGTCTGACCGTATTGATCCCAACGACTCGTCTCTCTCTCTCTCTGTCGCTCAGGGTCCAGAGATGTCAGCTGTGATCTCTAACTACAACAAGATGGCAATGGCACTCATACACTATGAGGTTCTGCACGTGCATGCATGGCTTAATGCTGCACGAGAAGTGCCACAGTATCTGAACACCACCCTGTTGGTTAGACATGAAAATGGAAAGGTACAAAAAAAAACAATTTTTACTATTTATTCTGCAGACGATCATTGACTGGATGTGTGGACGATCAGTTATTTTGAACTGCTGTTTCCAGATTAGTGTAAACCTGGACCCTGTGTTGCCTGAGGTGGTCGCAGAAGCACGCTGGATGATCAAACTGGATGTGGCTCTGCCAAAAGTCATTGCACAAATGTTAGCTAGAGAAGAGGATATCAAGGCTCTGAACAGAAGGTAAGAACAAAAACACTTATATTTATATTATTATTATTATTATTATAATTAATTATTATTATAATATTTAACCATAAACTGAGAGAAAACATTCTTTATTTCTTGTTTTATGTGTGTGTGTATAGACTGCTGCAGATGCTTGGTGACTACAGTTCTCTCGTGGAGGCTGTTCCACCTCTTCTCCTCCCTGTGATCCAGCCATTCATTAGCAGAGTGGAGGCAGAGCTCTCACCTGGCCTCACCACACTGTCCTGGAACGCTCTTCACACCGACCAGTGTAAATAAAGAGACAATGTCATACTGTGTTAGTTTTACTGAGTAGTTAAATATTATAGATATCATACTGTAGTTTTACTGAGTAGTTAAATATTATACCGTCATGTTGAATACTTCTTTACAGAATAAAAATAATGTTTTTTTGCTCTCTGTTTCTTCTACTCAGTCATACAGAGCGTCCTCTCTGCTCTAAAGGAGCTGCAGCAAATTTCTAAAGTCTCCTCAGATCTACTAGAGTGTCGTGTGGAGCGGCTGCTGCACTTGACATCCTGCTGCCCCCTGCTGGTGCTGCCTGAGGACATATCTGTGTCACCTGAAGAGCTGCTGCTGCAGACCACGGCCTGTGTCCAGGAGGCTGCTGTCACTTTGAGCAGGTGATATGGTAATATAAAGACAATGCTGCTGAAGAGTAACATGGTGGGGTGCTATAACACTGTGTGTACATGTGTGTGTGTGTGCATGGGGACAGGCAGAGTCAGCAGGTAGAGAGGTATGTCTATGAACTGATCGATGAACTGAAGAAGAGGATGAAGCCATCAGAAACTGTTAATCTGGAGGTAACACACAGACTCACAGATTCTCTTTCTTTCTTGCTTGTGTTTCTCATCTTTCCAACCTTTCCTCTGTCTTTTCTTAATTCACACTTTTTGCACTTTTTCTTCATTTATTTCTCATTCTCTAACCTTCCTACCTTCCTCCTTCGACAAACTTGTATTTTACTTACTCATTTCTTTTTTGTTTCTTTTTTCCTCCTTCTCCTCTTTAGGGCTCATTCCAGTGCCTTCATCCAGATTCCAAACAGAAGACCCGCTGTCAGTCATGTCTTCCTTGTCATTTCTACAACCTGATTGGTCAGCTGTGTCATCGCAACACTGAATCCCTGGTTAAAGGTCAGTGTTCTGCATCTGTCTTCTTCTTCTCCTCCCTCTTTCTTCTTAAAACTCTTTACTTCCTCCTCTCTTGTGCTCTCCTCTCTCTTACACTCTGTGCTTTTTTCATCTTCACCCTCTCAGCCACCAAATCCTCTCTGGAGGCTCTGAGGCGGAGATTTAATGTTGGCAGTTACCAACAGCAGAGCGCCGCCCCTCACAGCAGCAAACAGACTCCACCTACTCCTCTGTTCCGATCTTCCATCCAGCTGGCCATCCCCAACATCATCCTCAGACCCAGTGTGGACGACATCCAGGTACAACAGGAAGTCCATCTTTGCTGACTGTGATACCTACATCAGCTTATGTCTTAATGATTGTTCTTCTTTTAATCTACGTGAAAAGACTTGCACTCAACTCTCACTTAGACTCTGACTGAAAAACTACTGGGGAACTGAATCATACTTTTGTTCATGTGACTTGACCTTAGACTTAAATTTGTTGGTGAAAGAAAATCTATTCTGTGACTCTGACTTACACCACCTTTTGCAACTCTTCTGTTGACCACGTTGCTTGGAACATTGACGAGAGCACCACCTGCTGGAAAAGGCCATAAAATGGTCCATTCACACTGAATGTGATGCATGTTTTTAAAGCAGTACGATTACATGTGAAATAACCATGCAGTGACCCTAGCCCCCGTTCAATGTCTACTACTACTAACCTGACAGAAATGTTTTGTGTGTGTGTGTCAGAGCTCTGTGAATAAGCTTGTGTCCATCATCCTGTCTGGAACCAAGGACATACCTCTCTGGACTTTCTCTCATCTGCAGTTCAAACAACAGCAGGTATGATTTATTGTATCTTTCCTCTCAAAGATAAACACTGTGTTTGGCTTGATATCAAGCAGTCAATCACAGTGTTTATTTTTATTTTGTTTTTTTACAGCTGGAGCAGGCAGCTGTTAGAGACGCAGGAGATGAAAATCCAGTAAAACCGCTTCAGCTGAGGCCAATGGACAGACAACTGGTTGAACACAAAGACATCACCAAGTCAGTCCATTCTGTGGAAGTTTACTTTCTTTTTTTTACCATGAACCCTCTGTTATAAGGACTGCACACTTCACCACTGTCTCAATATACTCACATTCTTCTCTGCCACTCCTGACCTATTTACTGTGTGCCTCAGTTTAGGTCTTGATACTTCATCATATATTTCAAGAGAGAAGACATGTTGCAACTTTTTTTTCACCTGCTGAAGTCATTTCTACCAGGGCTAGTCAAATATGAGAAATACTTCATGGTGTATTTTTGTGTTCCTATTGTTCCTATTGTTGGTTCAGGTTGGTGATGCAGCTCAGCTCCAATGTGTCATCTCTTAGAGTTCAGACTGCAGAGACTATCAGTCAACTTCCTGATTTCTCTGCTCTGTGGAACCAGGTCAGTGTTTGCAGATATTTTAGTAATTGTAAAAGTATGTTTAAACACTAGATAGAGAGTACTTTTATCACTAAATTCCATACATTGATTTTAAATGGTGGTTTAATGTGTTATTCCAGAAATCCCTTGTTTAAATGTGTATGTTTTTGGGCACTGAACCAATCAGATTCATATTCTCAATGTCAGCGTCAGTAGCAGTGGTAAGTGTTACTTGTTGTGTTTGTGTGTGTAGGAGCCACAGCAGCAGGTGAAGGAGTTTCTTCAGACTGAACCTTCCGTTACCGAGTTCAGTTTTCAAATCTACTTCTACTCTGTGAGTGTGTGTTTGTGTTGAACTGAACAATAACTTATAAATGAAGAAAAACTATTTCAGGCAAAAGTGTCATGGAAAATCAGTATATTTTTAGACTCAGTTGTGATTCTTTTTGCAGAAGCTGCAAATGCAGATTTCAGAGCTTCCAGCAAATTATTCAGTCGGTTCACTTCTCCTTGACACTGATGAGCTGAAGATGGCGCTCACTCAGGAGTGTAATCTGTGGAAGCAAGCGTTTGGGGCTGCACTTCACCATCGTGCTTCCACTGACTTGGGTGAAATCTTATCGTTTGTGGAAGGGCTGACAAAGCGCTTACAGCGTCCAATCAAAGACCTGGAGGATGTGAGAGCAGCAATGGCAGCACTCAAAGAGGTCAGACTGGCTGCTGGTTCATTTTGGAACTTGGTGTTGGTTGATCATCCAAATTAAAAGTTGTTCAGATTATCATTCCTTCACATTCTGTCACTTTTTTACTTTATTTCCAGGTTCGGGAGGCAGAGGTTAGTCTGGACGCCACTATCGGACCAGTGGAAGAATCCTTTGCTCTGCTCAACAAACACGAGCTGCTCTCTAACGATGGTAGTGCGGAGCGGGTTGATGGCCTGACATATGCTTGGAAAAACCTCAATGCTCTAGTGAGGCTGGTCTTAGAGCTTTTCAAGCTCAGTAAACATACAACATGTTCTGCACTAAACTGTGTGTTTATGTGACTTTTCAGGTGATGCAGAATCAAAACACTCTGGTGGAGATCCAGCCCAGCATGAAGACAGACCTGCTAACTGCAGTCAAGAGCCTGCAGAGCCATGTTCACAATTTCTGCAACGAATACAATCTCAGGTAGACACACGGTTGACAATTCTCTGAATGTCTTTAAGAACAACTCTCAGGGCAGTCAGTTTAATTAATTATGTTGTTAAAAAGACATTGAGGAAATTATGGATTTTTTTTATCTTTGTTTGTGTCTGGGTACATGTTAAGAGGCCCTGGTGTTGAGGGCGTAGCTCCAGAGGAAGCCAGTGAGCGCCTGCAGAGTTTTCAGGCTGAGTTTGACCAGCTATGGAGGAAGTTCATCACCTGCTCAGGAGGGGAGGAGCTTTTTGGCCTTGCTGTTCAAGGTAACCATGTCAGTGTGTCCTTGCTGTTGCTGTCCTGCCTTCTCTCCTCCTTCATCATCCTCTCACTCTTCCCTGCAGACTATCCAGAGCTGCAGAGAATCAGGAGGGAACTCTCTTTGCTGTCCAAACTCTACAGTTTGTACAATGCTGTTATTGATAATGTTGGTGGTTACAACGACATCCTGTGGTCCGACCTCAATATTGACAAGGTCAATGCCGAGCTCCAGGACTTCCAGAACAGGTACGAAAAAGATTTTTATTAATTTTGCATTATATTCAACCCTGATATTATCGTAGATTTACCTACAGGTATTTGAAAGTCTAACTCTTAGCAGCAACGCTGGCTATCTTGACGTGCTACTGACGATGCCTCTTGACTTGCCACTGTTGTTTGTGAGCTTTCAGGATTCGGAAGCTTCCTAAGGCCTTGAAGGAGTGGCAGGCCTTCAGAGATCTGAAGAAAACCATTGATGATTTTGCAGAAACCTGCCCCCTACTGCACATGATGGCCAACAAGGTCAGAGGCTCACTTTTTCATGGAATTATTAGAAAAAAATATCATGTAGAAAAGTCAAGCAAGAGTACCATTTTCTGTGGTGATCTGCAGGCCATGTTACCCAGACACTGGAGCCGTCTGAGCGAACTCACTGGTCACAGCCTGCAGGTGGAGTCAGAGAGCTTCTCTCTCAGGAACATAATGGAGGCTCCACTGCTTAAACACAAGGAGGACATTGAGGTTTTACCTTAGTTCCTTAAACTTTCTATCCAACTTTTATAGTTTACGTAAATTCAAGTAAAGTTAAATTACTCGCTGTGATTTTAAACTGTTGCCCCAAAACTATTCTGCTCCTTTTTTTATCTTGCCTAGGATGTTTGTATCAGTGCGGTAAAGGAGCGAGACATCGAGGCCAAACTAAAGGACGTCGTAGCTGAGTGGAGCAGCCATGAACTCACATTTGCCACCTTCAGGACCAGAGGAGAACTGCTTCTAAGAGGAGCTGATACGGCTGAGAAGATCTCCATGATGGAGGATAGTCTGATGGTGCTCACATCACTGCTGAGCAACAGGTAATGATGTTAGGAGATGGAGCAACAATAAGATCAACATCTAGAAAGACAGATGGATTATATGATTGGACCATTCCCTCTCTAGATACAATACTCCATTCAAGCCCTCTATTCAGCTGTGGGTCCAGAAATTGTCCAACACATCTGAAATCATTGAAAAGTGGTTGTCAGTTCAGAACCTGTGGATCTACCTGGAGGCCGTGTTTGTGGGTGGAGACATCGCCAAGCAGCTGCCACAGGTTACGTTCCCCTGTGACATCATCACATCACATGACATTTTAGAGCTCATTGTGGAAAAGGGGAGAGTACAGTTTAGTAGCACCGGACAGCTGACTTCAGTTAGTCCATCACTGCGATTGTTCTTTTGCAGGAAGCCAAACGTTTCCAGAACATTGACAAGTCGTGGCAGAGGATCATGCAGAGAGCTCACGAGGTTCCCAACATGGTGCAGTGCTGTGTGGGAGATGAGACGCTGAGTCAGGTGATGCCTGTGTGTCTCTGAAAACACGTCAGCTACTGTAATGGCTGTGACATGACTGACGACAACTGATCCCTTCGTGTATGTGCAGGTGCTGCCGTGTCTGTTGGAGCAGCTGGAGCTCTGTCAGAAGTCTCTGTCTGGTTACCTGGAGAAGAAACGCCTGGTGTTCCCTCGCTTTTTCTTCGTGTCTGATCCTGCCCTGCTGGAAATCCTGGGTCAGGCGTCTGACTCTCACACCATCCAAGTAATACAAGGGACCATGAAATAAAATATTTGTCATTTTTCTCAGCTGTTGTGAAACTTCCAGTAAATGTGATCACCTGTCTTTTTTGTCATCAGACTCATCTACTCAGTCTCTTCGACAACGTGAACAGAGTTATATTTGATGAGAAAATCTATGACCAGATACTGATGTTTCAGTCTCAGGAAGGAGAAAGTGTAAATCTGAAACAGCCCATCCTGGCCCAGGTGATCGGTCTTAAAGAACAAGTCTTTATATATTTAAATTCAATAATAATATTAATAAAAACTAACATTTTTCACATACCTGTTTAAGGTAACTTGAGTGTGCCTCATCTTTTCCAGGGAAACGTGGAGGTGTGGCTCGGTCAGCTGCTCACTGGTGTCAGGCAGACACTTCACACCATCATTCGTCAGGCTCATGTGGCCATCAGTGAGCCGGACATGAAGCTGCTGGAGTTCCAGGCAGCGTTTCCCGCGCAAGTGGGGCTTTTGGGAATCCAGATGATCTGGACTAGAGATGCAGAGGAAGCACTTGTCCTCAGCAAGACTGACAAGAAGGTGCATTGATATATGAATATATATACATATATATATCTTGATATATGAATATGTATACATATACAGTATATATCTCATAAAAGACTGGTGATCAGTGTCAGTTAACACTATTCTGATTTGTTGACAGATCATGCAGGCAACCAATCAGAAGTTCCTGGATCTTCTCAACGAGCTAATTGACATGACAACCAGGGAGCTGACAAAAATGGAGAGAACGAAGTACGAGACGCTTATCACCATCCATGTACACCAGAGGGACATCTTCGAGGAGCTGGTAAGAAGAAATACTGACACAGAGTCTTGATCCTCAAACTGACCCTACAAGTCAGCCATGGACGTCTTCTGTCTCCTTCAGGTGCGTCTGAACATTCGCTCTCCTTCAGACTTTGAGTGGCAGAAACAGTCAAGATTTTACTTCCTGGAGGAGTCAGACCGTTGTGTCATTCAAATCACAGATGTGGAGTTCAGCTACTGCAATGAGTACCTGGGCTGCACAGACCGACTGGTCATCACACCACTGACTGACAGGTACACGAAGAATTCACTGACCCGCACACTGTCCGTTGGTCTCTGACTGACACTGACTGACCTTGTGTGTCCAGGTGTTACATCACTTTGTCCCAGGCACTGGGGATGAGTATGGGTGGAGCTCCAGCTGGTCCAGCAGGAACAGGTGTCGTCATCGAAGCATCTTCAAACGTAGTGCACTGTGACTGTCATGTTGACTACGTGTCTGTCTGTGTGTGTGTGTGTTCCATCTGTGTTTACAGGTAAGACAGAGACCACCAAAGACATGGGCCGCTGTCTGGGTAAATATGTGGTAGTTTTTAACTGTTCAGACCAGATGGACTACAGAGGACTGGGACGAATTTACAAAGGTGTGTATTAGTCTCAACTTTGTAAACGGTTACAGTTAAAGTAAGTGTGTGACATCACATAACCTATTGTTTTCCACTTATAATGAATCACTAATTAAGCCCACAAAAAAATCTGATGTTGCTAAAGAGGAGGAGCAGATGTAAAGTGGTCAGGATATCCTTGTGTTTTTTATCTGCAGGTCTGGCACAGTCTGGTGCCTGGGGCTGCTTTGATGAGTTCAACCGCATCGAGCTACCAGTGCTGTCGGTGGCAGCGCAGCAGATCTACATTGTCCTGCAGTGCAAAAAGAACCAGAAGAAGCAGTTTATCTTTACAGATGGAGACGTGGTGGACATGGACCCTGAATTTGGCATTTTTCTCACGATGGTAAGTGAGACCAATTTTTATGCTGCTAAAGAAAAGCTGCAACAGCAAAGTTTTTAATGTAAAGACAAGAGAGTTTTATCGCTGACCTCTGACCCCTCCAGAACCCTGGCTACGCTGGTCGACAGGAGCTGCCTGAGAACCTCAAGATCCAGTTCCGCTCTGTGGCCATGATGGTTCCAGACCGTGCCATAATCATCAGAGTCAAATTGGCCAGTGCTGGTTTCCGGGACAACCGGGTTCTCAGCAGAAAGTTCTATACACTCTACAAACTGTGTGAGGAGCAGCTCTCAAAACAGGTCAGAGGTCAATAACAACACAGAGAACAATCTGAAACCCAAACCAAAATGTCTGATTTTCTATCTATTGACTTTGCTGCAGGAGAGTAGAGTGTTTAAACTGATGTTACAGAAGTTACTATTAGTTGAATCATACAGTGGATTAATTCCTTTTTTTTTGTCTTTCAACAATTTCAATAATTCCTGTCTTAGTGTGGAAAAAAATTATATTCACCTGTGACCTTGTGACATTTTTCTATTGAATCAGGTTCATTATGATTTTGGTCTGAGGAACATTTTGTCAGTCTTGAGGACTTTGGGGGCAGTGAAGAGAGCAAACCCAACAGAATCAGAGAAGACAGTGGTGATGAGAGTCCTCAGGGACATGAACCTGTCCAAACTGGTGAGTTCTTCCCTTTGTTTTACTACAGTACACAGTCTTGGTGTTTAAGTTTTTATATTGTTAAGGAGAGAAACAGTTAAACAGCAGGATCTCTGGTTTGGTATTGTTAATATGAAGGTTACAGTGACATTTGGATGATTTATATTTGTCTGCAGGTGGATGAAGATGAGCCTTTGTTCATGAGCCTGATCAATGATCTGTTTCCTGGTATTGGTACGTCTAATATTGACATCAATTTAAACATGTTTTAAAAAAAGAAAAAAGGTGCAAAAACATAAACATTTTCTTCATTTTTTTTTTCTCTTTTTCTTCTTTCTCCTTTAGTTCTGGACAAGGCTGGTTATCCAGATCTGGAGTCGTCTATCGTGGCTCAGGCCCAGCAGGCTAATTTGATTCCTCATCCTCACTGGATCCTCAAACTGGTTCAGCTCTACGAGACGCAGAGGGTTCGACATGGTACAGAACCAGAGTGATGCTATGTTTAGAACCTTCAGAACTTAGGTTATAAATCCAGTTTCTTCTTGCCTGGTTCTTCCTGCAGGAATGATGATGTTAGGTCCCAGTGGCTCAGGAAAAACCACTTGCATCCACACACTAATGAAGGCCATGACAGAGTGTGGCGCCCCCCATAGGGAGATGCGGATGAACCCCAAAGCCATCACCGCCTCACAGATGTTCGGCATGCTGGACGTCACCACCAACGACTGGACCGATGGAGTTTTCTCTACGCTCTGGAGAAAAACCCTTAAAGCTAAAAAGGTAATGATGAAATGTTGCAGCGCCACCATCAGCTTCTGTGTGAAAGTGTGATATGTGTTACATGTGTATTTCTTCGATCAGGGGGAGAATGTCTGGATTGTTCTAGATGGTCCTGTGGATGCTATCTGGATTGAGAATCTAAACTCGGTTCTGGATGACAACAGAACTTTGACTCTGGCAAACGGAGACAGAATTCCCATGGCTCCCTGCTGTAAGGTGATTATGACATCTTCATTATTGTCATCATCACAGATGTGCCATTTTTCTTACTAATCCATCCTCATGAAGATCGTAACAACTTACAAAATAAGAAATAATAAAATGACACGTAAAGACGTGTTTTTTACATATATGTAGATCGTGTTTGAGGCTCACAACATCGACAACGCATCGCCCGCCACCGTCTCCAGAAACGGCATGGTGTTCATGAGCTCTTCAGTGCTTGGCTGGATTCCAATTCTCCAGGCCTGGCTGCAGAAGCTTCCAGAACAACAGGCGGAGGTCCTCAAGAGCTGCTTCGATTGCTGCTACCAGGTGAGTGGTGTCACAACCAGAATGAACATGTGAAAAGCTTGAATGAAGTCTGAGATGTGAGTAGGTTAATTTTTTAATTTGACTATTGTAGTAACTATAGTTGTGATAATGGTCCACTGGTGGCTCATGTGATATACTGTGACCCATACAGGGGCTGCTAGAATTTGTCTTCACTGCAGTCTGTCCAAAGATGCAGGTGCTGGAGTGCATGTACATCAGACAGACTATCGACCTGCTGCAGGTAAGATAAAGACATAACAGGAAAATTGTCAACTGACTTTTCTTTTTGCTCTTCTCCCATATGTCAGTGTTTATTTTTCCCTAGGGTTTGCTTCCTGCGGCAGAAGAGAAACACCTTGGTCGACTGTTTGTGTTTGCCATCATGTGGTCCCTCGGTGCTCTGCTGGAACTGGATGACCGTGCCAAGATGGAGGCTTTACTAAAGGTGGGTTGAGATAAGAGAGTAGAATTTCAGCTTTTTATCTGGATCAAGATTGATGTTTTTTTTTATGATGATCTGTTTCCAGACTTTTAGCTCCACTCTGGACCTACCACTGACTCAAGACGACCAAAATATTTTTGAGTTCATGGTCAATGAGCAAGGACAGTGGGAGCACTGGTCCAACAAGGTCAGTGGAAAAGAGAAAAGTGTGAACTGTTCACTTTCACATTTTCTAAAATCACTGTACATTTGGTCTGGGTTTACAAACAATGTCTCACTGTTGTTATATCCAGGTTCCAGAATACATATACCCAAAAGACCAGGTCCCTGACTACTCCTCCATTCTGGTTCCTAATGTGGACAATGTACGGACAGACTTTCTAATGCAGACCATCATGAAGCAGGGAAAAGCTGTGCTTGTGATCGGAGAGCAGGGAACTGCCAAGACCGTCATGATCAAAGTAAACTGATTTGAGTTCAACTTGCCTGTTACAACTAAGATGATTGAGATTAATATCTGTCTGACTTTACTTAGCTGAAGGCAAAAACTTAGCTAAAGGCAATGTTAGGAACCAAATTGTCAAAACCAGGTAAAATAAAAATTAAAAGGTTAGTCCTTACGTTGCTAATACTTTTATAAAAACCTGAGAAGCTTTAAATTGTGAAAAAAAGTAGATTTATGAATTATAAAAATGTTACACAATTGACCTTAAATGTATAACTGTATAATAACTGTTGCAGCATATAAATCACGTATGCAAATACGGTTTATATATTCTAGCTTAACGCTGCAAAACTCTCTGGCTCCCCCTGCAGGGTTACACCGGTAAACTTGACCCAGAGATCCACCTCAGTAAGACCTTGAACTTCTCATCTGCCACCCTGCCTGGGATGTTCCAGAAAACCATAGAGAGCTACATTGATAAGCGCATGGGCGCCACCTATGGGCCTCCAGCTGGACGCAAGATGACTGTCTTTATAGATGACATAAACATGCCTGTGGTTAATGAATGGGGTGACCAGGTCAGCTCCGACCTCTTTGTTTTATTTAGACATCATTATAATTGTCAATGTCATGTTATTTGACAAATGTTTTATCTGCTTCTCTCATTGGTCCACAGATAACTAATGAGATTGTTCGTCAGCTGATGGAGCAACATGGTTTCTACAGTCTGGAGCGTCCAGGAGAATTTATTAATGTCGTAGACGTTCAGGTAACAAGCTTTACATCGAATGTCCCAGAACATTTGAACATTGAAAAATAATTGGCAATATTAGCACATTTTAATGAATCTATAGCTGCAGCTCCAACATTTATATGACAAACAAATCTTTACCACATTCTTGCGTTAAGTTGGTGGCAGCCATGAACCACCCTGGTGGTGGTCGTAACGACATTCCTCAGCGACTGAAGAGACAGTTCTCTGTCTTTAACTGCCCTCTTCCCTCCAACTCCTCCATTGACAAAATCTTTGGCACCGTGGCTCGAGGATACTTCTGTCCAGAGAGAGGCTTTACCACAGAAGTGTGCGACCTCGCTGCTGATCTTGTACCTACGACTCGGCGGGTGTGGCAGGCTGTCAAGACCAAGGTGAATTATTCTGTGTTTAAAAAAAATATATATATATTATTATTTGACCAAAGTTATTTATTTTTTGCTGGGGGTGTAAGCTTCACCTGTAACCACTAGAGGGAGTTATATTTCCATTTTTTCCACCAGATGTTACCATCTCCTGCAAAATTTCACTACATTTTTAACCTCAGGGACTTGAGCAGAATCTGGCAGGTAAAATATTTTTGTCTGTTTTGTTTTTTTGTGTAGCATTTTCCAATCATTTTCTCTTACTTCCTATATCTGCCTTTTTGGTTGGATCGTGTGTGTTCAGTTGTGTTTTTATGACCTAATACTCAACGTTCTTTTCAGGGAATCCTGGCAGTGAAGTCAGAGGTGTGTGAAAGCCCTGCCCTTCTCGCTGCTCTCTTCCATCATGAATGTAGCAGAGTGATCGCAGACCGCTTCATTGACAGCAGTGACAGACACACCTTCAGCAGCATCCTGGACAAGGTGTGTGTGTTTGTGTGTCACTGTGTGTGTTCTGCAATGATTTTACAATATGTATGACCTCCTTGTCTCCCAGATCACAGTGGAGGATCATGGGAAAGCTCTGATTGAGCATGCTCAGTGGAACAGCAGTTTTGTGGACTTTCTGCGAGATGCTCCTGAGGCCACGGGCGATGAACCTGAAGATGTGGAACTGGAAGCACCTAAGGTTTGCTGATGTGAAAAACATAATTGGTTTCTTTATCCAGCACAAGAACATTGCTGGAAAATAAAAAAAAAATGTGTTGTTGATGCTGTGATTGACAGGTGTATGAGCCGATCCTGTCCCTGGATGCACTGGCTGAGCGGCTTTGCTTTTTTCAGCAGCAGTACAATGAAGCAGCGAGAGGAGGAGCCATGGACCTTGTGTTCTTCAAGGTAACACCAGGTCAACTTGTCTGCAGTGACTCTGTGGATCTTCGGAGTTATTGCTGCAAAAGTTTCTGCCATCTTTTTTTGCAGAGGCTAAATTTGTTTGTCAATGTTTGCAGGATGCAATGACACATCTCATGCGGATCTCTCGAATCTTACGGACGCCGCAAGGCAACGCCCTGCTGGTCGGAGTTGGTGGGTCAGGAAAACAGAGCTTGACGAGACTGGCGTCTTTCATTGCAGGATACCAGACATTTCAGATCACACTTACAAGGTCTAAAACTGAAAAAAATACCATCATGAATGCACACAGAACCACAACTTTCTCAAGATTGTGGAGCCTAATTTGACTTATTGTTTGTCTTACATGCACAGGTCGTACAGCTGCAGTAACCTGCTGGAGGACCTGAAGACTCTGTATCGTATCGCTGGTCAGCAGGGAAAAGGCGTCACTTTCCTCTTCACTGACAATGACATCAAAGACGAGGCTTTCCTGGGTACAGTTACCAACTGTAACTGTTATGTTGTTGTTAATATTATTTATATGATTACTCTAATTGCATTACTCTACTTCCCTTCTCTCTGCAGAGTATATGAACAATGTCCTGGCCAGCGGTGAAGTTTCTAATTTATTTGCACGTGATGAACTTGACGACATAACTCAGGACCTAATTCCTGTCATGAAGCGGCAACATCCTCGCCATCCTCCAACACCAGAAAACCTCTACGACTTCTTCCTGTCCAGAGTGCGCAGCAATCTCCATGTCGTCCTCTGCTTTTCACCTGTCGGGGAGAAATTTCGCAATCGTGCTTTGAAGGTTAGTTTAGGATCAAGTTGACGTCCCATAAGTCATTATGAGAACACCTTCAGCCTCATCTCTGTATTTCACCTCTACAGTTTCCAGGTCTAATATCAGGCTGCACAGTGGACTGGTTCCAGCGCTGGCCTCGAGATGCCCTGGTTGCAGTGTCACACCACTTCCTGTCTCAGTATCAAGAACTCCGCTGTGAAGACGATGTGAAACAGAGCGTGGTGGTTACCATGGGAATTTTCCAGGTAGCGTTTTTTTTTTTTAGATTTTTTTTTCATGTATTTAACCACATTCACCATTCCAATCACATGAGCTCCTGTTTGCAGGACTTGGTGGCAGAAAAATGTGGTGAATACTTTGAGCGTTTCAGGCGCCAAACATTTGTGACGCCAAAATCCTACCTGTCATTCATCGACAGCTACAAAGTAATCTACTCTGAAAAGATTGCTTATGTTGGAACACTAGCTGAACGCATGAAGACAGGTAGGGACTGTCGTAGTCTTGTTCTACAGGGGTTTAGCATTACAAAGCCATTTTTTTTTAGTTATTCTGGTGTGGTATAGCTTTGCTTGGCATTTTATAAAACTTTTTTATAAAACAAGTTTCTCTTGTGTTTCCAGGTCTGTGTAAGTTGATGGAAGCAGAGCAGTCTGTGTCTCAGCTGTCTGAGCAGCTGGTGGTGAAGGAGCAAGAACTCGCCGTTGCCTCCACCAGGGCAGATGAAGTCTTGCAGGAGGTCACAGCAAAAGCTCATGCTGCTGAAAAGGTCAGGTCCAGTGTTTATCTAAAGCTTTCATCCTTTAAATTGCCATGTTGGCTCCTTAGCTTTCTGTTGCTTTTTATTCTAAAGTGATTATATTGCCATGTTGGGTCCCTCGTTTTCTGTTGCTTTTTATTCTAAAGTGATTTTGTGGATCTTATTAGCATTTCTTTTAGCTTTTATTCTTTTTATTTTCATTTTTCTCTCTTATTTTATCCCATTGTGGCTGTATTTCAGATTTTCTTTTCTTATTTCACTTACATCCCTCTCTGTATGTGGCTCTATGTGCAGGTAAAGCAGCAGGTTCAGAAGGTGAAAGACAAAGCTCAGCTCATCGTTGACGAGATTGAAGCCGATAAATCGGCAGCAGAGTCCAAACTAGAGGCTGCAAAACCTGCACTGGAGGCTGCAGAAGCAGCTCTGCAGGTCCTACACATGCCCACACACACACAAACACACTCACAGACCCACACATGCATGACACGTCCTATGTCTCCACAGACCATCAAACCCGCGGACATTGCCACCGTAAGGAAGCTGCAGAAACCTCCTCATCTCATCATGAGAATCATGGACGTGGTGGTGCTGCTTTTCCAGAGAAGGGTCACTAGTCACACAAACACTACACACTAACACCACTGTGTGTGCTTGTATTTTTGTTTATTTTTTTTTTCTCCATAGATTGATGCAGTTACTGCTGACCCTGAACAATCCTGTCCTCGACCTTCATGGTCTGAGGCTATGAAGCTGATGCAGAACCCGGCTTTCCTCAGCATGCTGCTGAACTTTAACAAGGTCTTCATTTTACTACTGTCACATTATCATCGTCTGTCAGCAGCCACAGCTGTGACGTTTAAAAAAAAACAGACGCACACAAATACACAGAGTGTAAAAAGCAGGTGATAATCTGCAGTGTGATATGATGAGACGGGAGTTTCCCCACATTGTGCGTGTACACACACTGGAAAACTCTCAGTCACATGAGCTGGCTGAATACATGGTCCTGAAAGGTCCATTATGACACACTGTGTAAAGATAATTGTTGCGCTTAATTTTTTTTAAGTAGTTTTAGGAATTATCTTTTTTCACTGTCACATGCAGGTCCATAGAGAAATTCAGTGATTAGCACAGAAACATGGGCTGTTGCCTACAGCTGCCTCCTGTGGTCAATGTGTGTCATGGTAATACAGAAAATTAAACGCACAAAGCAATCAATCTGGCTGATTGAGGCAGCGTTGGGTCGATGTGTTCTGTGTTCTGTTATGTTAACTATACATTTATGGACGTTGATGTGGCTAAAATAAAATGGTGACTCTTACATCTGCAGGACTCCATCACAGAGGAAGTGGTGGAACACATCATGCCATATCTGAACATGGACGACTACAACATGGAATCAGCTAAGAGGGTGTGTGGTAACGTGGCTGGACTCTGCTCCTGGACCCAGGCCATGGCTGATTTCTTTGTCATCAACAAAGAAGTTCTGCCACTGAAGGTAAAGAACGTCACACCCAGAGACATCACCCTCCTTTATTTTTGTTCAAAATTATTGATTTCATCATGTGGATTTGTCACACATAATAACTGAGTGTGTGTGTGTGTGTGTATGTTTATGAGTACAGGCTAACCTAGCGCTGCAGGAAGCTCGGCTGATGGATGCTCAGGCTGAACTGGCTAAAGCTCAGGATCAACTGGATGCCAAGCAGCAGGAGCTGGATGCTGTTCAGGTCAGTGATCAGTCATAACTCTGTCAATTAAATAAGCATTAAGTTATTATTGACTAAGATCGTTTCATAACATAAACATCAGGCGCTGTACGACGCAGCCATGAAGGAGAAGCAGGACCTTGAGGATGATGCTCAGGCTTGTCGTCACAAAATGGCCAATGCCACAGCTCTGATTGATGGCCTGGGTGGAGAAAAGGTGGGTGTCTTTCTCTGCATCTTTTCAACCAGTTTTCTGTCCTAGTGTTTAAGGACCTTCTTTCTCCAAATTGTTATTATGTCTCAGGTCCGTTGGACAGACAGCAGCGCTGGGTTCCAGATGCAGATCAAACATCTGGTTGGTGACGTTCTCCTGTCCACAGGCTTCTTATCCTACGCCGGGCCTTTCAACCAGGAATATCGGGGCCTGCTGCTGTCCCTGTGGAAGAAGGAGATGGAGGAGAAGCTCATCCCATTCACTTCTGTACAAAGCTCACATCTTTATACGTTTTATTTAGGACAGTTTTGAAGTGTTTGTCAGCCTAATGTTCCTCATGTAAAGCCAGATCGTAGCCGCTCCAGTTTGTGAACCACTCACTCACACGCGATAATGTTACTAAAAGAAATATATTTTTACTCTCCTTGTATTTCAGGACTTGAATGTGATTGGTCTACTGGTGGACAATGCCACTGTGAGTGAATGGAACCTCCAGGGTTTACCCAACGATGATCTCTCCATTCAGAATGGCATTGTGGTTACCAAGGCTACACGGTACCCGCTGCTTATCGACCCACAGGGTCAGGGCAAGACCTGGATCCAGAACAAAGAGAGAGAACACCGACTGCAGGTGAGGGACGAAGGGAGGGTAAATCCCGTAATGCTGGGGGTGCAGAGAAGCCTTTTCATCTTCAGTAGTGTTGTATGATTGTTTTTTGCTAAATAAGACTTATTTTTAATTTCAGAAATATGCAGTTTTGAGGCCACACTTACTGTAACTCTAGTCTGTCTGTAACATGGAATATTGTAATTTTCATTTCAGGTGACGTCTTTGAACCATAAGTATTTCCGCTCTCACCTGGAGGACAGCTTGTCTCTAGGCTGCCCCCTGCTGCTTGAGGACGTTGGCGAGGAACTGGATCCAGTTCTGGACAACATTCTGGACAAGAACTACATCAAATCTGGATCCACCTACAAAGTCAGTTTGGCCTCAGATAATTGATGTACAGGCAAAAAAAAAGGAAACTTACTCATGTATTTCCCTCAGGTGAAGGTTGGAGATAAGGAGGTGGATGTGATGAAGGGTTTCATGCTCTACATTACCACCAAGTTGGCCAATCCTGCTTACAGTCCTGAGGTCAGCGCCAGGACATCAGTGGTGGACTTTACTGTCACTCAGAGAGGCCTAGAGGATCAGCTGCTGGGACGAGTCATCCTGCTGGAGAAACAGGTCCATGTCCACTTATGACCTCCTAGATAGTTACAGTGTCTTCACAATTAATATTAAACAAAATCAAAACATAACCTAAAAATATATTTGTACTTTTTTTAAGTATAAAAACAGGGATTTTTAACCTTCTTTGAAGTTTGACTCTGGCTCCTTCTACTGTTCGTGTTCACCCGTGAGTAGGAGCTGGAGGCAGAACGTGTGAACCTCCTGGAGGAGGTAACGTTCAACAAGAGGAAGATGCAGGAGTTGGAGGACAGTCTGTTGTTCAGATTGACCAGCACTGAGGGCTCTTTGGTGGAGGATGAGTCTCTGATTGAGGTGCTGAGGGTCACCAAGGCTACTGCTCAGGAGGTGAAACTGAACTTTAACAATGGAATTATGGGAGTGTTTTTAAGATGCATTGTCATCGGAAGATAACCAGTGATAATATCAGGAATTTTGATTCAGGTGAGTGAAAAACTCGTGGTGGCAGCAGAGACAGAGCTTAAGATCAACCATGCCAGAGAAGAGTACCGGCCTGTGGCCACCAGGGGCAGCATCCTGTACTTCCTGATTGTGGAGATGTCGTTGGTGAATGTTATGTATCAGACATCGCTGCGTCAGTTCCTTGGTCTCTTTGACCTGTCCATGCAGAACTCAACCAAGTCCCATGTTACGGCAAAACGCATCGCCAACATCATCAGCTTCCTGACCTACCAGGTAGAGACGGCAGACATTTCACATTTAAAAATATTAAAAATTTAACTGCTGGAAAAAGTTTAAAGATGGGCCCAATCAAAGTGTGTTCAGATCAGCACTCAATTGAACTAGGAACATAAAAACTATAACAACTGTTGTTTTTATCTCAGGTTTATTGTTACACAGCTCGGGGTCTGTATGAAGAACATAAGCTGCTCTTCACGCTGCTCCTGGGTCTGAAGATTGACCTGCAGGACAGAAAGATCTCACACCGTGAGGTGTTAACCTTCATCAAAGGTCAATGCTACCTTTTCTTTTACATTTTACTCCAATATATATTATAACTATTTTTAGATAATCTTATAGGTTTTTGCTAATTTTAGACATTGTTGCTTTTTTTCTCCTCTTTTTTTCTATATTTTTAAAAAGTGTTTTACTGACTTAATTTATTTTGGGCAATGTTTTGGATCAAAGTCTGTTCCTTGCATTTGTAGGCGGTGCCTCCCTGGATCTCAACTCTGTGGAATCTAAACCACTTCGTTGGATTCTGGATCAGACCTGGCTCAACCTGGTGCAGCTCTCAGCTCTGCCTCAGTTCACACCAATCCTTGCTAAGGTTAGCGGTCACTGCCACAAACATTATTCATCACATACAGAGAGTAAATACAAAGATAATCTCAAGCGGATTTTCCGTGTGACCAGGTCAAGCAAAATGAAAAAGCCTGGAAGTCCTGGTTTGATAGTCCGGCACCAGAAGATGCAGCGCTGCCTGATGAGTATGAGGAAAAACTGGATACCTTCAGGAAGCTTCTGCTAATTAGGAGCTGGTGTCCTGACAGAACCATCGCTCAGGTTTGTAACAGTAAAGACAATTAATAAAAAAGTAATTATTACAGCCTCATGACTAAATATGCTTCACTCTTTGTAAATATTTAGTGTGTATTCAAACAAATGTGTAACCCCTCGCTTCACAGGCACGACGCTACATTGCAGAATCTCTGGGTCAACAGTATGCCGAAGGTTTGGTTCTGGACTTGGATGCCATGTGGGCTGAAAGTGACAACCGGACACCAATGGTGTGTCTGCTTTCCATGGGCTCTGATCCGACAGAGAACATTGAGAGACTGGCCAAGAACAAAGTGAGGGGATAAAAAAGGCTAAAAGTGTATAGTAATAATGTTAGGAAGAAGGATCAGAAGTATTTAATGCAGAGACAAATAATCCTGCTTTCTGACTGTAGGGGGCGCCATGTAGTCCCATCTCTATGGGCCAAGGCCAGGAGATTCATGCTCGCAAGCTTTTGGCCAACAGAATGACAGACGGCGGCTGGCTCCTCCTCCAGAATTGTCACCTAGGACTGAACTTTCTGGATGAGCTGCTGGACACGGTCATCACAGCACCACCGGAAAAGATGCACAAAGATTTTAGGGTGTGGCTGACGACTGATGTTCACCCCAGGTGACTGCTTTCTCCTCCTATGGGCCTCCTCCTAAGATAAAAAGTTAATTAACCGGGGTTTGTGTGTTGCTGTACTTGTTTGTGTGTGTAGATTCCCCATCACGTTCCTTCAGTCCTCCATCAAGTTCACCAATGAGCCTCCACTTGGTAAAAAGCTCCTCCCTCATCTTTTACTTCTTTACGTTCTTTCACTGTTGTATTTTTATGTTTAAGTCCTTATTTTCATCTGAACTCATGCTCAGAATGATTGATAGAACAATTCAGGGCTAATTGCCTCTTCAAAATGCCTCTTTTAATCTGTCGAAGTTTTAATGTTAGTCATTTCAAAGGCCAAGTACAAGTTTTCACGGGAAAATGGCTGCTGTGTAAATCTGATCTTACCCTGACTCTTTTAATCTGTCGAAGTTTTAATATTAGTCATTTCAAAGGCATTTCACGGAGAAATGGCTGCTGTGTAAATCTGATCTTATTTTTGTTTACTTGTTGATCATGTGACCCTGATCAGGAATGAAGGCAGGTCTGAAGAGAACCTTCAACAGCGTGACTCAGGAACAGTTGGAGATCAGCAGTCGTCCTCAGTGGAAGCCTCTGCTGTTCGCTGTGGCTTTTCTTCACTCCACTGTCCAGGTGAACTTTAAAAAAAATTGTAGCAAAACCCAACACAACTTACCTGATCCTGATGAAATGCTAGGCTAACTGCTGGTTAATTAATCTGATCATAAGCTTTCATTCTGTTCCCTCTTGCAGGAACGCCGTAAATTCGGACCACTGGGATGGAACATTCCTTATGAGTTCAATCAGGCCGACTTCACATCCAGCATGCAGTTTGTCCAGAACCACTTGGACGATCTGGACATTAAGAGAGGAGTGAACTGGAGCTGCCTCCGCTACATGCTAGGTTACACCTTAACACCTAAACCTTACTTTAAGACTAGATATGTTTGCATTTCTGTTTATGTTATTTCAAGACAGCACAATTTTTACATTCAAGTTAAATTGATAGCAATATTTCTGAATGATAACACTTTCTTTATGGCAACTACATCTCTCAATTTTAGGCGAGGTTCTCTACGGTGGCCGGGTGACAGACGACCTTGACAAACGTCTCCTCAACACTTTCACCCATGTCTGGTTTAGTGAGAACACCTTCAGCGACTCCTTCTGTTTCTATCAAGGCTACAGCGCCCCCTCCAGGGCAAAAACTGTGCAGGATATCCTGCAGCACATCGAGGGCCTGCCGCTGGTCGACTCACCTGAAGTGAGTGTTTTCAAATTTACAGACATATATGATATAGTTTATGGATACAGAATAAGTACGTTTAACAGCTTGCTGTGAAACAGGAGCTGCTTTTCTACTGCTCCCTCTGTGGTCAGTTGGTGTCACTGATGTTAATCTAAAGTATTTTAACTTTAACAGGTTTTTGGTCTCCACCCAAACGCTGACATTACCTACCAGACCAATCTGGCCAATGAGACACTTAGCACCATTATAAACATCCAACCAAAAGACAGCGGCGCTGGAGCTGGGGAGACCAGGGAGGCCAGTGTACAGAGGTTAGCCAATGAGATGCTGGAGAAGTTACCACCTGACTACATCCCACATGAGGTGTGTGTCCAAAACATAACAGCAGAGCTTTTTAGTTGCCATGGTTCAGGCATGTTTGTTTACTGCTGTACCTAAGGCTTGTGTTAAGTTAATATTATTACTTGTTTTGTTTCTTAGGTCAAAGCTCAATTGCAGAAGATGGGTCCACTTCAGCCAATGAACATCTTCCTCCGACAGGAAGTGGACAGAATGCAAAGAGTCATCTGCAGTGTACGCACCACTCTCACCGACCTCAACCTGGCTATTGATGGTGAGTCCAACACTCACTCACCCACACAAGCACCCAGACAGAGTGATAGAGCGCCATCTATCTTGTCGTTGCAGGAACAATCATCATGTCTCAGGACCTTCGTGATGCTCTGGATTGCATGTTCGATGCTCGCGTCCCTCGCCTGTGGCTGCGCCTGAGCTGGCCCTCAGCCACGCTGGGTTTCTGGTTCAGTGAACTGTTGGAGAGGAATCAGCAGCTCTGTAGTTGGATCAGCAATGGCCGACCCAATCAGTTTTGGATCACCGGCTTTTTCAACCCGCAGGTTTGTTCAGGTTAATTTAAAAAAATCTAAAAACAAAACAATCCTTTGAGATCCTTTGAGTCTGTGTTAACGGAGCACAATGCAAAGTGGAAAATTCACCTACTGAAGGATAAACACCCTTTTTTTTGTTGTTGTTGTAGGGTTTTCTCACAGCGATGCGTCAGGAAACAGCTCGCTCCAAGGGCTGGGCCTTAGACACTGTCACACTAAGCAACAATGTCACTAAGATGATCAAGGAGGACGTGTCAGCCCCGCCTCCTGAGGACTTGGGCGGAGTCTACATTTACGGACTATTCCTGGATGGTGCAGGATGGGACAAACGAGGAGCTAAACTGACAGAGGCTCCACCCAAGGTCATTAATAAAATTTAAAAAAATAATTACAGTAAAAAATATATTTATTCACACATTTGTTTTTAAAAAACTGAAATGATTAATTAACCTAGTGCCTTTCTCTGTATCGTAGGTGCTCTTCACGCTCCTCCCTGTGGTTCACGTCTATGCTGTCAGTGACACATCTTCAGCCGCAGCAGCAGTGGTCAACACCAGGCGAGCACCCACTGGTGGTGGCGCCGCAGGAGCAGCAGCGCTGACTCTGTACTCATGTCCGGTCTATAAGAAACCTCGTCGTACGGACCTGAACTACGTCTTCTCCCTGCAGCTGAGAAGCGAGCAGCCACCTGAGCACTGGACCCTGAGAGGAGCCGCACTTCTTTGCGACTGCAAGTGACACCATCCGCCACGTGACTGAGTGAGTGATGACATCACAGTACAGCTCCCCACATTTCTGTTTCAGGACTCAGCTGACAGCTAAATTAAAGAGATTCTTTAATCATTGTAACAGAACCAATCATACAGTATATGACCACTACAAACATTTGTTGGACTCACATCTGAACATTTGATGAACATTAGAGTTCGATGCAAACACCAGGCATTCTACTACCTAAGCATTTTATGAAAATCATGCATTCTATCCTATTTGGAGCAAAATGAACGATAAAGCACTGCTCACACAGACAACTATTATTGTTTCTCAGGAACCTGTTGCAGGGGTACGACTGTGATGTTATAATAAATTTACCTTTCGGCTTTCGTTCATTTTTTTGTAATACCGCTTATGGTCCCAAAGAATTAATGAGTTGTTTTTTTTATTCAACCTTTATTTTCTCCACATGACAAGTATCTTTAAATGTTACACTGACAAACTCCAGCCATGCAGTCACTCAGCAGCAAAGCTACCACACCAACATAAAAGGAAACAAACAAAAAAAGTAAACATTAGCATTGGTATTCTTTCAGCTCAAGGACAGTGAGACGCTGCTCACTTAATTTTGAAACTTAGTTCCTAATGCTTCAATATTTAATATAATAAATAAATCCTAAAGATAATGACTCTAATGCATTTGCCCACATTTCAGATGATCCAGACAAGGCTACTTTTTTTTTAACTTGCCTCTGAAAGTGAACAGTTGATTCATGGTATTCGTCAGGCGTCCATCTTATTCCACACTATGCATTTGTTGCCAGTGTTATTTAACTAATACGGAGCAATTAGAGACAAAGACTTTTGGAGTCATTTTTTAAATTCATTCCAAAATACATCACGGTTTTGTGTGAATACTATAGCAAAAAAAAAAAAAGATTTTAAATATATAAGATCCTTTAGATTATATTTATTGTAATTGCTTTCAGGGGTTAGAATTATATTATCAGCTCTTAAAATATATATTTGAGTTGATACGTTTTTTTTCTGACATACGTCCATAATTTTTAAGCTCTTAACATCTGACTTTGCTCTGCCTCTTTCTATACAAGTTCCACTTTCACAATTTCACTTTTTCACTGAGAACATTTTCCATCACAATTTCTTTTTCATTCAACATTTCTGTACCATTCACATGCAGGAGCAAAGTCAACAGCAGGTGGTGTCAAAACACCAAAGTCTTTTTGTAGAGAAAATACATGAGAAAGTCTATTCATATGTAAATGATTTGATTTGATATAAGTCCACATGATAATGAAAAACATTCTTGTTGTTCATTCTGACGGAATCTGTAAGATCCCGTTGTTTGCACTTTCTTTAGTGACTCTCACTAATTTCCACTTCATTACTGTGCGTCACAACACTGTGGTGCCCTTAAAACTTAAGTCTAATTCCTCTGCTTCCTTCCTGTGTGGTTTCAGGAGTCCAAAGATCTTATCCTTGTGTTGTTGTTTTATGATAGCTGCTTCATGTCATACATGGGTACCTCTGTCTCCTCCGCTTTACCCTGGTCAGCAGCCATCCTGGCAGCTTCCTGGCTGCCTTTGCGTCCCTTTGGTGGAGGGACAGGCAGAGCGCCCTCTGTGGCACCCTCAGCTCCTTCTTGTCCCTCTGCAACAGTCCTTTCCTTCTTCAGCTGGAGTTTCGCAGGGACATTCTTGGAAATGGTCTCCTTCAGCCTTTCGCCTGACTGTTTCAGCCTCTCACCAGACTGGCGAATCTTTTCACGCCTCTCTGCTGTCACGATACGTTCCCCAAACTTGTTGACCTTGGTGCCAAAGTTTTCACGGGTCTTACTCATGTTCTCCTTGGAGAACGTGGCTTTGAAGCTCTCGATGCGCGTCAGGCCTGTCTTCTTCATGCGGCCAGCTGCTGAGGACTCAGCCTCCTCCACTACCATATATTCTTCATCCGACTCTGGGGGAAGCTCAAATTTGTCTGGCTCTATCTCTCCTCGAGCACCGACACTGGGTTCTTTAGACTCATTGCCAGGTGTAACAGACTTTACCTCCTGATCACCCTGAGGGCAGAAAACAACATTTACACTTAGAAAACCGTCACAAGAAAGTATTAGAATTTTTTTTTTTATGTGTATTTATGGTCGCTGTATTAGCGACTTGCAATTATCAAGGTCACAACTTGAGCTTTGATTACTGTTAAGTCATCTGGCCTGCTATGGTATGCCACAACTGTGATTGGATTTTGACATTCATAGCTATGAAAGCTTTGATATTTTCATATTTCATTTGTTTATTATACTCCATTACCTGAATACGCGAAAATAGCAAAAACAGCAGTCGTTATCGCAAACTGCTATTTTGCTGCTGTAGATGCAATACATGCTAAAATAAACGACCACTTGCCATAGCAACTGCTAACATCAATGTGCACCCACAGCACATTGATGTTTAATTTGCATTTGTGTCTGCATTAGCTGGATTTAGTTTGATCTGAGCAGCAGCTAAGGCTGCCATCCTGTTGAGTAGATTCTGTTCGTATTGTCGGTAAAGTCAAACACTAATTCTACTACACTTCTACTGCAGCTGCTGCAGTACTTCTTTGACATTTGACCTACAATACATGAGATCTCTGCTATAAATACAATATTCTCATATTGTTTGATTCCCCCCCCCCTTCATCTTTAATCTGTCTGTGGCCAAAGTGAGTCATGTGACATATAAGTGTGCAAGACTAAATCCACCTCCATAAATAAACTGCAACACCTGTTTCTGAAGCTCAAGCTCTGCACTGTGGGAATTTGAAGCTGTAGAGCGTCATGTTTGTCAGTCTCTGGACTGGGATCAGGTTCCACTTCACACGCAGGAGCAAAAAGCTACGAACTGACCCAGATCTCGCATAAACGCTGAGTAACCGTCCCAGAGTCCAGCTAGCTGTGTCAGCAAGAACGGCGGAACTTATATTTAATTGCTTAAAGACTATTACCTGTAATGCTCTGCTTAGCTAACTGTAGCATGCTAATTTGATTGAATGTTGCAGCAGTAAATACGTAATGCTAAATCGACTTTAGCTTATTTCCTTAAACCACACTGCAGCATTTTCTGTCCTGTACATAAATAATTAAATACAAAAAAAAAACGGAACTCTTAGCTGAAGATAGAAAGGAAAGGTCAAAGGTCATGGGAACTATTACATCACTACTGGGCAGACTGGGGGGGTTTATCCCGCTCTTATAACTAAAAATCAAAAGGTAAATAATTAAGCCTGTCAGTGAGTTACATTTTAACTGTAAAAATTGCATTTAGCAGAGAGGAAGGGAGAGACGGCAAGAGAGAGAGGGACAGAGAGAAAGACAGATGGACGAAGAGAGAGAAGTAACTATATTAGGAGATGGTGGACGTTCAGACTCAGAATAACTTGGTCTCAGCTGGGTCAGTCATTTTCTCTTCACACAGCAGCTTCATCACTTACTGGACTTTGATCAGAGCCCATTTAAAATCGTCTTTATCTTAGAGTTTCTTCATGGGATTTTCAAATTCACAACATCCATGATAAAATGGATGGAAAAGGAATACAGTACATCAATGCCAACTATCATTCTGAACAACAACAAAAGCGGGGGGAATAGTTTGTTCAAATCTGATCTGATTTGTTATCAACACTGCAACATTCCAGTGTTTATCCAGACCTAAAATAAAAAATACCTTGACCACTGTGTCTGCTGCAGCTGCTGAGTTTGAAGGCCAAAGAAGTAAAATGATGCCTGTGTGTGCGGGTTTCTATTTTAAACCAAGAACATGTTTCACTTAATTGATTAGAAGAGATGAATGGATGGATGGAGTGATGGATGGATGGATGGATGGAGGGTTGGATGCCCCAAATGGTTAACATACATCTCTGAGAAACTTCATCAGTCTAGACATGTGGGACTGATTCACACAGTAAATTATTTTGTCTCTGATCATTTTTCACTACAGAATTAAAATTTTCACCTCAATGTTTTCTTATATTTAAACTTTAAAAGGTTTTTTGGCTTTATAAAAACTAGATATCAGGTAAAGTGTACTACTGGCCTATCCTTACTGATTTCTTTTTTTTAGTGAGAACTGACTAAAGTCAAAAGTGATTAGTCAACTCGAGGCTAATGCTAATGTTAAAGTTTGTAAGTGATACATGCTAACCATGTTGTCCTGCATCTAGCTGTTAACTCTTTAGTTCAGGCTTCTGACAGAATATCATAACATCAGAAAATCATGGCCTACGTCAGATGGAAACATCAGTTGAAATAGTAAATGATCACATTGCACTGTATCTGTGACATTCAGTGTAAAGTTCTGCTACTATTATAAAAGAAACATTTATTTTTTGACATTGTAACAACTCCCAGACGTTTGCTTCTCTCACCTGATAAATGACCACTCTGAACTTGTTCTTGGCTAGAAGATCTCCCTGCGTGGCCTCCACCTTCTTCACCCTCAGGTTCTGGTTCTCCACACGCACCCTGACATCCTTGATGTGACGACTGACCTTGCGTGTCTTCTCCAGCAGCCGGTCTACGGTGGAGCTGGTGTTGGCGTGCTCATTAGTCAGCTTGATCACATCCGTCTGGATGCTCTTCACCGTGTTTTCCAGTTCAAGCTGCCGCTCCTCCATGCGCTGCTGTGTGGCCTGGACACTGTCCATTAGGCCCGCCACGCGTTCCAGCAAAGCCATGATGCTCCCTGCATCGTCGCCGCCACCTGTAGGCATTCCAGGTTTATCTGTCATGTTGGCCTATCTTGCTAGTTTGTCCCTGTGGCAAATTCTGAAAATTGTTGGAGCAAAACTGAGAAAAGTTATCTGCGAACCATTGGGATGTTTAAGGATAACTATCAAGGGATCTAAACTCCGTGAAAGAAGAAGAAGAGAAGCACAGAAAGCAGCAGGACCTGATCCAACCTCTGAAACTTAAAGTCGACCGTGAAACTGGTGAGACCAACGGACTGACTCCACCCTGGGGCGACGTGAAGGGAGGAGGGAGTTAACAAGAGGGAGGGAGGACGGGGCTCAAATGAGAGATGGGGGGCCGAAAATCCAAAGGAAGTGATTCTTCATTGTTTTATTACTCTGTGTCGGCTGTGTTAATAATTTGGTGACCAGACATGAAACATGAGAGATTTCTTTTCCGTTATCTACATCCAACATGTTTGAAGTCAACTCTTGGACCACCACCACCATGGACTTCCCACCAGGAGGATATATTTAAAAACCTGGAACAGGATACGTCACTGGCATGTCGGTGTTAACGGGTGTGCTGAATAAAGAGCATCATGGTTCTCTGCAGCTAAAAATACAGCTGTGGTAAAGTGACTCCGGCTCCTCTTTGGGTGATGAGGATATTAAAAGGAATAGAACCCCCCACCCCCCGCCGCCGCCCAATGTCTGTTCCTCTGTCGTTCACCTATCAAGCGTCACCTTTTCACGTCTTCTGTCTTAATCCCCTCCCTCTAGGTTTGGTCTTTTCTTGGCCCTTGCAGGCATTCCAACTGAAACTGAACCTTACTGCTGTCTGGGTTCACTTCAGTAATAATAGGTGGATCTTTTCAGTTTAGCAGTACTAACTTTTCAACTGGCTTCTATCTGAGATGAGATGCTGATTACTGAAAGATAACTAAAATGAAGTCGCAGGTTAATAAATCCACCAGGGAAGTCCATTGGGGAGAGAGTTGTCTCTCTCTCTTTCACTTAGAGAACAAGGGGGTTTTAAGGGTTTTAATTTCACCTCTATGCCTCACCTGGTGCTCAAGGCAAAACCTGATGTGGTTTCCTAACAATGGAGTGGATGAAAGTGAATGGGTTTATTAATCATAAAGATACAGCTGACACGTTTAAGTCAAAGTGACGGTTCGTGTTCCACAGAGATCAATGGTTAGGAGTGAAAGGTATGGTTTGCATGTGAAGGAGGTGAGGAAGGAGGGGAAGGAGGAGGAGGGAGAGGGGAGGGGACCCCCCAGCAGCTGCTGCCTGTCTTTATCCTGCCGTCACCACTATATTTAGGTGCTGTCCCACTAGGAGCCACCGGGAGCGCTCGACTTTGATCCCCCTTGCTGCAGGTGGGTGCGTTCTTCAAAGTCATGTCAACGTGTCTACAAGTCAATTAACTGACCAGACGTTTTTCTGTTTCAGAGTCACTACAGCACTACCTTGTGGCGGATTTTACGAACTACTACGGTAAGTAGTACTTTTGTTAAGTTAACAAACCAATTTTAAACAAAAGATTTAAACCTGAGTTTCCTGCAATGAAGTTGCAGTAGTTTTTTTAAATATATATAATAGCAACAAAACTGACACAGTGAGTTCAAACATCATAATTTAATTCTAATTCAGCTACAGTACAGTCTAAACAACAAATTCACTGTTTCATGCAGGACGCACTACAATTAATTCAGACCAGATTCCCACCGACGTCACATCACTGTCAGTGAATCAGGGTCGAGCTTATTCGTCTACTCCTTCTACCACACGACATTGACAAAGACCAAAAACAGACATGTTGTACCAACGTTACAGATATCAGATATAAAAAAAAAAAAGAAACAATAGAACAATTAAATTATTATCAGCTTGTCAAAAAACAAAACAACAACTGGAATTATTTCCTGAAAAGTTGTCAGGAAAAAAAATTATTATACCAACCTGTACATGTTATTATCATTATTATCATTATCATCATCAATAGTAGTGAGCAGTAGAAAAAACAGCATTTTGGTTTTCAGGTGCGTCTCATTATCATCTTAAAAAAACAAAAAAACAAAAATGAAATAAAGTCACATGATCATTTTTACCCTGTGAGAAGTAGCAAAATATTACAGGAAACAGACTACAAAAAAAGGGACTGCTTTAAAATGCAGCACTGAAACATGGGCGGGGGTCCTCACATAAAACGCCCCCTGCAGAGTTAAGGTCTTAAAAACAAAGTGGTCACAAAAGTAAGTAAACTGTTAACCAAAAACTGTAAACTCATTGACATTTTAATGAGAATTGATATTGTATGAACGGACTTATCTGATGTGAAAATTTCAAGAGTGCAGCAACACAAAACATGACGGTGTTTCACACAGGATATTCAAATCAAACACACCCTGATTTTAACTACATCTGTAATTATGATCAGTGGCATGTGTGAAAGTTTCTGGTTTACATTTTGAATAAAAAAAAGTAGCTGCTACAATATTGTTCATGTTAAACTTCCTGAAGTTTCTCTCTTGAAGTACACTTTAGTGTTAATATATACATCGTCTTTACATTTCAGTGACTGTAGGTGAAATGTTTAAACCAAGTGTAACTGACACATTTTCACAAGGGGAAGTTCATGTTGAAATGCTTGGTTGATTAAGTTAGGTCCGTACTCAAGTGAAACGCAACATTACTTCAGCCAAATTCAATTTCATTTTTTAATGTGACCCTATGCAGTAAAAACTAAGAAAAAAGATTATATTTTTCCTTCCAAAATCATGTAAACAAAGAGCATCTACCTCCCACAGGGTAACACCAAAGAAACAGAGTGTAAATAATTTGACAAATCAATTTTCCATTCTTGAGAATCCACAGTGTTTCAGAGTCTGAGGATCAACGTGTCACGCGCTCCCACTTATGCAGAAAATAACACAAATCCAACATGGAGGACGCTGTTTTAAATAAGGCCGCGTACAAAAAACATCTTTCGAAAAGTAGAGAAAAAAGGAAGAGGCACCAAAAAAGTGGAAATATTTTTTCATTTAAAAATTGCTGTCCACCTGTGTGTACTTAAGAAAAAACTGGCTTTGACCAAAAAGATGAGCAGCTCGCTACATCATCCTGGAGGAAGTTCCTGACGGGAAGTGACCGAGGTGCTGCTTCTGTCTCCGTCCACGTTTTGTTTTGTTGCACCTCCTGCAGAACACAACAGTAGATTCAGGTTCAAATGAACATATGCAGTTTGATGTTATTATCATGACATAATCATGTGATAAGGACGTGAAAAACCTTTTATTTCAATACAGCCATAAAGTTCCTATCAGTTAACGATCGAATTTAAAAAAATCAGATGTCTTCTTGTTTCATCTTCTGACATTACTTTTTTTTCTCTCTTATCACGTCTGTGTGTACACAAACCTGGTGAAGCACATGACCACCGCCACGATGACAGCGATCTGCACGGCTCCAATGATGGCGGCGATGAGGACGTAGTGCAGTTTCTGTCCACTGGGGACAACGTAGAGAACATTGAAATCCAGCAGCTGATCACACTGAGAGCCACCGTAGCCTGCTTCACACCTGGAACACACCCACACAGGTCAAAGGTTAGATCATTTTTACATCTAAGGTTAAATCTATTATTCACCCCAACATTCTGCTTCCTCGTAATAACGTCTGTTTAACTATATGTTTTACAATGGTATATTAGCTGCTGCCTCCAGAATCTCAAGTACAAATTGAGATATTTTATGAGCACTATACTGATTTCTACAAATGCAGATACAGCAGTTACCTGCAGGTGGCGAGGTTGTGTCTCATCTCACACTCGCCATGTTCACAGAAATGTGCGTAGTCGTCAGGGCAGGGCGTTGGGATGTCTACAAACCCCTCTCCCTCTCCAGGCTTTGACACGGCTGCAGTAACAAATAAGAAACAAAAATATGCTGTTTCGTGATTGGCTGACAAACAAAAACTGCGGGCGGACCCAGTGACGGTGGAGCTTCTTACCGTAGATGTCAGGTTTATGTTTCATGCTGTCGTCTTTCCTGTTTTTATCTGAGACACAAGAAGACAGAATTCATGTTTCTAACACTCATTACATCAGGAGGTCATGAATGAGTGATGTCAACAAATATTATGGAAAATTAATCCTTTTTTTAATGATAAATTAAAATGATTTACTTCAAAAAACATAGATATAAGTGAGGAGGGGATGAAAAAGAGAAGGCGACACTAAAACAAAGAGGAATGTTTTATTCTGGGTGTGTGTGTGTGTGTGTGTGTACATGCGCTGATTTAGGTCACGTCATCTTTCATTATAGATGAGAAACTCTCTCCTCCTCTTTGTCCTCCTCTTTGTCCTCCTCTTTGTCCTCCTCCACTAGTGCTTCCTTTAACCTGACGTTGGTCACTCCTGATATTTGTTTAAGTATGTTGTGTGTGTGTGTGTGTGTGTGTGTGTATCGTCGTCACCTTGGCAGCGTCCCACGTGTTTGATGTCGATCTTCAGCTGTTTGAGACAGGACGCCTCTCTGACATGACAGGGCGTGTCGTACGTGACGCTGTCGCTGCCACACACTGGGTTATCGTTGTGACCGTTGCACACGATGTTACACATGCAGCTGCACAGACACACACGCACACAAAAGTTATGTCAATATATTATTGTTGTTCATCTTTTGCACAAAATCAGTCGTTAGGGTTCGTGGATCCACTGCTGCCGTCACTAAGTTTAAATGTGTTTCTTTGTGTTTGAAGTCCTTTGTTCAGCTGTACCTCGGTTGCACAAACGTCAACACCTACAGCACGTCTCTGTGAGCTAAAATGTTCAGTTTGTGTGGGGAGACGAGGTGAGATAAAGGTGCATGTGTGTAAAACTAACAGTGTGTCCTCGGAGTCTTCATCACATTCGGCTCCAAATTTGCAGATCCCACATTTCGAAGCCTTTTTGCCTCGACCAGAGCCTTCGTCATCTACAGACACAGCATCGTGATTATGGTTAATGAGTTGCTAAGAAGCCATAACTGTGTGAAATAAAAATGTCGTTGTTTACCTCCGTCCCCAGATCCTGACCCGGTGTCTAGCTCCGACACAGATGAGAGGACACAGGTGTTAGTGGACAAGTGTAGATAAACAGTTACAGCTGGCTGCACCTAACGTTTTGGACGTTCATGTCGAGTGAGTTACCGTGGTAACAGGGTCCCTCCGACACGAGGCTGATTGCTCTCTGCTTCTTACACGACGACCTCCTCAGGAAACATTCATTCTGGTACGTGTCTCCGTTTGAGCCACACACTGGCACGTACTTCTGATGACACTGTGACGCACACACATACGCACAAAACCATGCATTTAGAACGGAACGTCCTTGACGCTATACATACAGTGGAAGAGCACATGATTGTGTGTGTGTGTGTGTGTGTGTGTGTGTGTGTGTGTGTGTGTGTGTGTGTGAAAGAGTGAAACTCACATGGAACTGACACACACACTTGATGTCGACGCCAATTTCGCGACATGTTCCTCCAAAACGACACGTCCCAGTGTCACACAAACGCAAGTCGCTCTTCTTTTCTGACAAATCTGAAACACAAACACAGACCATTTATTGTCATTGTTTTGTCCCTGCTGTACACACTTTTACACTTTTTTACATTTCCCTTTAAAGTGATCAGCTGGAGTTTGTGTGTTGTGCCTGTTTCTCTGAAAACAGGAAGTGTTCAGTGAATTATACAACTTGTGTTTAAAAAGAGTCAAATTAGTGAAATATAAAAAAAAACATGTACTACAAGTTGAATGTTAAAATAATATCAACCTGCTGAGGTTTTCATTGTGATTTTAATGAAGACACCTCAGATACATGTGGTCGTACCATCCTTACCACACAGAAACAAACACACAGATACTATCATCTAGGGTAGTAATTAAACAAAGGCGGCTGATTGGTCGATTGGGTAAGCAGGTCGGCCAATTACGGCAGGTAATTACAGGAGTCGTGACCCCAGCCTCCCCTGTAATTGGTGAATACCAGAGTGCTGAAGCAGCCAGAACACACACACACACACAGACTGTTCCCAGGACTGAGAATAACGACACCTGAGAGATACCTAAAATAGAAATATAATAATTTTCCCACAGAGACTCCGCACAAGAACATGGGCACACAACACACACCCACTCGCACTGAAAAGGCAGCGTTTCAATCATGCATGGTTTCCATGGATACCACCTTGTCATCTGACAACCTAGTAAGAGCAGGATCCAATTAGAGCTTGTTTACGGAGGGTGAGAGACATGTCTGTGGAGACGTTCACACCCTGACAACATGTGGGCTTACATGGGTTTTATTAGGTTTGGGTTTTTTGTTTTTTTTTTGTTACACCAGGGGCATCGTTTGAAAACCAGCCAGTCTCCTACGCCAAACAGGAAATGAACAACATGAACAAAAGACTTTAAAGGATAAAGACACAAAATACCACAGTTGAACTTAGTGAGGGAGGCAGCAGTGAATCAACAACTGTCAAACCATTTATGATGTTTTATGGAGGAGCAGCTGGTTTCCTGCTTCTGTTTCCCATATAATATATATATATATATATACATCTATATATATATATATATATTCTCCTCAACCTTGTTTTTGTTCTACTCGCTGTTTGTCCCTGCCTCTGTGTCTCAGACTGGTTCCAGCAGCACTAGCGCTCACAGAGCACTTACTACTAAGTTCCTTTAAAAGAAAACACACAATTGAAACAACCTGAACTCTCCCTTTAAATTTTAATTTCTGTTAACTCGCCCTGTTGTAAGGCGAGTTGAGATGAAAGGTGAGTGAAGCAGAAGATTTGTCATCCTTGACAGCTCAGTGAGGCGAAGATGAACAACCCCATCTCTTTCTCTTTCTTTCTCTCTGTCACTCTAGCTCCCTCGTCCTCTTACGCTCAGATGACCTCATTATCTCTCTGCTGCCTCGAGAACAACACAGACTGGTGGCACAAGACTCATCCAAGAATGTGTGGATTCAGTCTGGACAGGAGAAGAGAGACACAGCCTGCCCTGTGGATTCCATCCTAACCTATCTACACTGGGAAGTGAGGCTCTTGGTCGGAAATGGTATGAAGGACCCGAACTAAAGGTCAACACTCCTGAGTGAACAAATGCCACACCAAATTAGACGTAACGTAGTCCAGGTGGAGCAGACCTTAAAATGTCTGAAGTCCTCTGTGACAGTGGACCCTGCTCCACCCACTCTGTGTCTGTCTAACCTTGTGTGTTTTAGAATAATTCACACAAACACAACACAGTTTTCTGATGGGACATAAACAGCCTGCACAGTTAGTACTGAGGTGCACGAAATATAGTGGATAAAAACGTTAAGCTGTGCCATGATTATTTTTTTTAAAGCATGATAAAAACATGTAAACATTAGTGGAACAAAAACACAAGGTCACGGAGTATTAAAGTGTTGACTTAATCTGTAAACCTAAGAGTAGAAAAGATTTTTAAGGTTTGTTTTATTAGCGGCGTCTTTTGTAACGTTTGTAAACTCTCTTTTTTCCTTGGCAGCCATGTTTTCATTTTTACTTAAAGCCAGTCTTTGATTTTTAATTTGAAGAAGCAGGGGGCGCTCACAGAGTGGTCAGTGCAGAATACAGTTGTCTGTAAATACCCTATACACACACACACACACACACACACATGAACACACTGAACAGGGGATGCGGGCCTCATCTGACCTCGCCCTGGTTCTACACCCTATCATTAACCCTGAAATAGAACACACACACAAATGCACACGCCGCTGCACATCCGTTTCTATGGTGACCATTCTGCTATAAATCTGCTCATCAAATCTGTTTCATTTTGACGATGCTGTCGTCATGACAACAGATGGACAAAGACAACACCTGGAGCCTGTGTGTGTGACCTGCACGAGTGACCCGCATCAGCTGACGTGTCCAGGTGTCTCACCTGTGTCCCCGCCACTGCTGCTGCTGCTGCCGCTGCGGGGAAAAGAGGCGTGAGCTGCGGGGAGGAGCAGTAGGAATAGCAGGCTGGACAGGCAGGAGGAGCAGCGGCCTCCTGCTGCTGCTGGAGGAGCCATGATGGAGGAAGAGGAGGAGGAGGAGGGGAAGGAGAAGGAAAATGATTGCCTGTGTTTCTGAGGGAAATGTGTTTCCAAAAAAAAAAAGAAGAAAGAAAAATGTAAACTTTATGTCCGGATTGAGTCCATGTGTCCCCGAAGAAAACGAAAAAACCCGAGGGGATAAAAACAAAGCCGATCTCACACACACATTGAAACACACTCTTAAACACAGACACACAACAGAGAGCGACCCCCTCTACAGCCGAAACCCGGCCTCAACCTCCATCCCCCGGCCGCTGCCTCGCTCTTACGATCCCCGGGCAGAGAGAACGAACAGCGGAGAAGGAGGAAAAAAGATCCCGATGAAAGTGTGTGTTTTCTGGAGGCTTCAGGAACAGCCCGGGCCGTATAGCAGCGTCTCTGAGCCGGGGAGGAAGGACACAGGATGTCGGTCAAAACCTGGAGGATTTTTTTTTTCCTCTTCTACACTGATTCACATCAACAAAGGCCCGAACCACGTGACAGCACAGACCACGCCCACAGAGTCTTGGCTCTCGGAGAGCAGCAGGGGCGTTACAGTAATAGACGGGGGCCTCCCAGAGTGACTGCTCCCGAAATCGAAATAATTTCACCACGAAGAAGAACAGCGTTTTTTCCTAATGCTTTTCTAAACATCAATACATTTTTAAAACAGTATTTCTAAAATTCTGAAAATATGAAACAATTTGTTAAAGAAAAAACATCTCAAACGTAGGATCCCTCTGCAGAATAATTGTTTTATATAAAAAAAGATGAGCTTAAGATCATCATTACATCATATTTATCAATTTTAGGAAAAATACCAACTGTATTTCATTTAATGTACACAAGGAAAGTCGCTGAGTTTACATGTTACAATTCTGACCACTGGAGGGTGCAATAGACTAGCTTTTGCTGTGTGGCGCTGAATGAAAAGTGAGTTATACCACTTGACAGAGAACATATAATGTTAGATATTGTAGACTTTAGTTGATGCGGAATTTGTTCGATCATTATTTCACTGAAAGTCTGAAAACGGTTGTTCCTGTAACTGTAGTCCTTCTGATCCAACAGGACTCTGTAGTTCACTGTCCAATCTCTTGTTTTCTAATCTGTTCTCACTGTTTTTTGTTATTCCACATCTTCCTCTTCCTCCCTGTTCTGAGACTGAACTCTCCTTGAACTAATGAGCCAAAGCAGCTCACGCACGGTTTGACAGTTTGTTCGACCACAAACCAAAGTTTGTTAAAGTCACAAATGTAAAGAAACAAAAACATATACTGACGATTTTCTTCCTGAACTACACATACATGTTTTATGTCATGTTTTATTTTCATGTTATGTTTTTTTTTTTGTCTCATGTGGCTGTGAGCTGTCATGTTTTCTCAGGTGAACAGCAGCAGGCTCTGAGCTGAGGTCAGAGCTCAATGACCTCAGTGTTTCTGCACCGCGACATTCTGTCACACTGTCTGTAAACAACATACAAGAAAAAATAATCCACCGAGGACATTTTATTGGGCTGTATAAAAACTGAGAGCGATGTGTTCAAAAACCCAGAAAAAGACACAGGTACGAACACTGTTACAGAATGTTATGTTTGAATAACTTTACTGAGTCTTTGCCAGAGTAAAAAAACAAGTTTTTCTAAAAGATAGTTTAAAGATTAAGTGAGAAGTAGTGACTCACTGTGTAGACATCATTGTATAATATTTATAATCTGTATTCATCAGTTCTGACGTCATGTGGGAAACACTAACAAGCACTGCTGTGTGATTGAGCTAATACTGGTGGGTTGTTGCACAACGATGTGGTAATTTGCACTTGTCTACATACAGTAAGTCATAGAAGTGTTAATTTGGGTGAGAAATCACGTTTATAAAGACGTGAAAACACCCTTGTAATAGAAGGTACTCTAGAAAGTAATATTACTAATGTTTACTAGTGTGTTTATGCAGAAGTTGTAAAAATGTGTATCGGTTATGATAATTCGATGTCGGCGTATCGTTGTAATGCATCGAGTCGTACGAATGTATTAATAAGGTTAGTTTTTCATCGGTAGTAATATCGTAATCGAGTGCTACTTATTACTCCTCCAGCACTTCTGTGACAATATAGTTATAAATACTGTTATCGTGTTATAATCAGTACATTTCTGTTTGTAGGTTTGTGAACCAGGGAGACCGACACACACACACACACACACACAGAGAGAGAGAGAGAGAGAGGTTTGGACACTCCGGAGGTGCGTAGTGCGTCGGTTCCTTCTGTTGGACACCGTGAAGGTGCGTAGTGCGTCGGTTCCTTCTGTGTCTCTCAGATTCACTGCGACTCAGTCTGCGTCTGTCACCGACCTTATACCTGGTTGTCTCTCTCTCTCTCCCTCCCTCACTCCCTCCGTCTCCCTCTCTCACTCACTCCCCAGCTTTGAGGCTCTTTCTCTCGGCTGCAGCTCATGGAGGAACCGCGTGTCCACACTGGGGAGCCGGACTTTAAGAAGTGAGGACTTTTAGGATCCAGATTCAGGATGAGGCGGAGTGTCCGTGGAGGAGAACCCGCGCTGCTAATGCTGTTGCTGCTGTTCGGTCAGCGCTGCTGCTCCAGCCTGGACAAGGGAGGTGAGTGAGAGAGAGAGAGAGAGTCTGCTTCTGTTGAAACTTAACCCAACACTTACTGGATATTTACAATTAACTTTGGGAAGTTTGGATTGAATGACATTTTAATTCTGACTTAATGAACCACCAGGAAGTGAAACTTTGATTGTTGATTTAAACGAACCAGTTTGAAGTTACTCTTAAAGACGTCACTAAAAATAGTCACTGCCCTGTTTAAATGTTCAGTTATTATACTGCTACATTATTATTATTATGCAAAAATCAATTTAAAAAAAGTCAAGATGTATTTATAAAAAACCCACAAATTCCATTTTATTCTTCATATATCAACTGAATTTTAATCCACGCCATTTAAGTACATATCCATACATATATAATTTTATATAATTTTTACTGTTACACTTTCTTGTAGCACACAGACTTTCTTCTTTTTTACTTGTGTTTACACACAGTATTTTGATGGTGGGATCAATCCTGGAGTTTTTATTTGGCCTGTCAGCACTTTCTTAAAAATCAATTTTTATTGCTCTCAGTCAGTGTAACATTTTTAACAGCCAGTTCTGGCTCCTGTCAAATCTGTTTCCAATTTGTATTGATATTTATTGCCACCACATTTAACCACAACATATGTTCAATACAATGACACTTTGATCTTGAAAAAAAAATAGTTTTTCGAAATTGGAGTTGAAATAATCATGCAACCTTAAATCTAATGTAAATCAAGGGTTTGAAAGATTAAGGCTAATTAATCTCACAGCCACGTAAACAAACAAATAAACCACACTTTAGTAAAATAAGCACCACATCATTATTTCTGCTCCTGTGTTTTCATTTTCTGTCACTCAGAACTGTAAAACTGCTTATTCTTATCACCGTCAGTGTTTGTGTAACAGTGACGTGACACGAAGAAAAAAGTCTTGTTAATAATGGTGATGACGACGATAATGAGAATATTTCAACAGTCCTCGGTATGTTTTGACGTTTGACATGTTCGTTCTGTACGACCGTGACGGTGAACGATGGCTACATGTGTGTTCCAGCGATGTTTGCTCAATGTGAGCCAGAATCTGACCGCAGCTTTGCAACAGTCCAAACCAAAAGTAGTCTAAATAAACAGAACTGGCCCCAAATACAGGATGTTTCAGGTGACATCCACAGTACACTTTCTTTGTCCAAAGTTCAGATAGAATACTTTTTTTACGCTGTGGTTTTAAATGCCTTCAATAGGAAGTTGACATAATAAAAAAAAATTATAGAAGGACCAATTTCATCCATAGAAGCAAAGAAATCTTACCTCTAGGGTTTTCTTCTTAACCCTAGAGGAAACTGATCGTGTTGAATTTTTTTGTAAATATTGGATTATTTGGACTTGGTCTCTGCTGCCTGAAACCACAGTTGTGCTGAAAAAAACAAAATAAGTCGAGGAATAAACAAAGAATGGCTGAGCCCAACTCTTCACACCGTGTGTGTACGTGTGTGTGTGTGTTATTGAATACAGCTGACCCTCTCTCGCGTCTTGTCAACAATTTGATTACAGACAGAATTTTCGGAGACTGACTTTGTGTAACTTTCATTGTTTTCTACCGACAACAGTGCTGTTGTGTGGTTGTTGTTGTTGTTTACTTGATGTCTGTGTCCCCATCTAGTGTTCTTCCAGAGGTTCCAGCGACTGCAGACTGTCTGTGAGGAACTGAAGGGAAAAGTCAGGGAATGTTATGTTCTCACATTAAAAGTACCAACATATTTTAATATACTGTCTGTCCAAAACTCTGCAGTCTTACACCCACTGCTCCATCTGACTGGAAAAATTCACAAAGCAAACTGTTAAAATAATGCCTCTCTTGACCAAGAATTTCTTTGGAAGCCTGACTGTTGATGAGTTGGAAACAGAACAGAATCTCCTGGCTGCAGATGTTTCGCCTAATTCAATCTCTGTACTGTCTACTGATTATAATGGAAGCTACTGATTTGTATTTTTGGAACTTTTGTCTGTAATCCGAGTAGGACAAGTGGTCAAGTCACTGTTGTAAAAGAGACTTTAATCTCAGTGAGGCTTTCTCCCGATTAAACCAAGGTTAAAACTAAGAAAATGGTATGAGGAGCAAGAATGGAAATATATTTATGGCTGGATTTTCAGCTAATTGAGTGCTGAGTTTTTGAGTAGTTCTTTGCATTAGTTAGAGGAGGTTCCTCTGGTGTCTGTAATGAACTCTAAAAAGGTCAGAAAGGTTTTAAGGAGACAGGTCCTTCAAAGGTCAGATGTTCCTGATGTAGGAACTATAGTAGGGGACTTTGAAATGTTCATAATGAGAAATTGAACTTCCTTCTTTGGTCTTGGCGTGGGACGTATGGATGTTTCAGAACTCCCTCTGTTTCTGACAAACTTCAAACCTGTTACCAGTCGAACTGACATTGAAGGATTGATTTTGCAGGACATTAGAATATTTTAAATGTTCTGTGTTTGGCAAATTTATCTTTTGTCATTTTCGTTTGAAGAATCTGTTGTGACTCCTCAGTACTGACCTTCAGTCTGCAAACACGTGTTTGTGTGTGTGTGAGGGCGCTTTTTTTTTTTGTCCCTTTGGAGTTTGACTTTGTAAAGACCTTGGCAGCATGTGAGAGTTTGTGAATGTTTGTGAAACTTTCCACAGAAAAATAGTTGGAGGTTTGCAGTCACCGTAGCAACAGTATTAACAAACAGACCCCCAAACAACAACAATAATCAGACACAAGACAAAAGAACTTCAGTTTGGACCAATATGTGGAACCAGGTTCCATAGTTTTGATCAACAACATGTTTCATTTTATTAATTGAATTTTTACAAATAAAATAAAAGATTAAATGCAAGTACGAAAATGTATAGAAATCAATAATGAAGTTCAGCCAAAGATTAATTTAAAGGTATGTTCAAAATAGCTTATATTTACACATATATACATAGACAGCCAAAAATCAACTTTGACAAAAAGTAAAGGTAAACTTTTAATAAAAAAACAACTAAATGTATAGAAGGAGGAGCCTAACAATAGTAAAACTGTGATTATCAAACTGTATATAAAGTATAAACATTACCCTAATGGATATGAACATGTAGTGAAAATATAAAGTATAAACATTACCTTAATGGATATGAACATGTAGTGAAAATATATATATAACAAACTATTTCTAGCAATAGCTAAATGGTTAGCTCAAATGTAGCGTAGTAGAGATAGCTGCGATTTATCTGAGAGATAGCTCAAAATATCTGAAGTTTTTTTTCTAGATAGCTGAGAGACGGCCCAGAAAATGACACCAACTTTAATCTTTATTATAAATATAATCTTCTAGGATGACCATGTTCTTTAGTGGCAGTTAGAGCTGAAGTGTTAGCTCTAGTGTGACTTGTCTGACATGGTGTTGCAGACTTTGCAACGCAACATTTTGTCATCACCAAGATATACGTCATCAGAACATTTTGATATCTTTGGAACTGAACATTTTTACGCAGCGTTTACCTCACTTGTTTTTTTGTTCTCCTCTGTGACATCAACCTCTGACTCACTGAGTGAAACAATTAAAGTTCTTTTGATACAGTGAGAATAAACAGGTGTGACCTGAAGTTGCTGCCACTGTTGCCATTGCCAGCACCGCAGCAGCAGCAGTGCAGCCTGGGAGATTTTCAGCGCAGGAATGTAAAGAATGTCAATAATGAATTTGAGAAAGAGTTGACAGGACTATACAGGCTCTACCTTGCTCTACCTGCTCTCTCTCTATATATACTGTAACATGCCAACTCTAACCTACGTATGAACTTCCTGTATTGCATTGTATTGTCAAACCCTTGAGGTCAGAGGTCACCTGGAGCAACCGCTAGATGTTCATTGAAGCCAAATTAACAAATGAGCTGAATACGATTTCCCTCAGAGAACAAACACTTTTCAATTTCCTTTGTCCCATTTAGTTTTTAATTATGTTTCAGATCATGTTATCAAATGTGGTTAGCACTTTTGGAAAACTAACAGTAAACCACAAGAAAGATGATAGTTATCTCAGTTTTCTATGTGCAGTTACCAGATCAGAAAGTCAGAATTTGTCAAAATGTCAAATGAATGTTGGACAAAAGGTAAGGTAAAAATTGAAATGTTCAAATTATTAAAATAATAATAATTATTATTATTACTTAGACGTAAGTGACATAAGTCAAGACTGTGGTGTCCCTCAGGGCTCACTGTTAGATCCCGTTCATTTTCACAAAGACAACAGTATCTTTTTTTTATATGTCGACAACTGTCAACTGACAACTTTTAACAGGTTTGGTGCAGAAAGTCGGCTGATCAATTATTAATAATCACCCGTTACAAAAAACAACAAACAGAGACTAGGTCTAGGACTGTGTTTCCTAATGTTGAGAGTTAATCCTCGCCTCATGATGTTGAACTTGTGGAATTCACCGTGAACAGGAGCAGAGAGGGAAACAAGCAGAATCTCGCTGTAACCTGTACACGTGCATGCGCACATACACGACACAGACACACAGAAATACACAAACACACACTAAATGCTGCAGGCAGGACACACACATACAGAGTGTTTAAAAAACAGGATGTTCCATTTAGCTTGAAACACAGACACAGTTCTCTCCCTCGGACCAAAATTCTCAGACGTTCTGTGTGTCAGTGAACTCAGCACATAAACTTTAGGAGATGACAGCAGAAAAAACTCTGATCTGATGAAACCCTTGACATTAATCTCTTGAATTTCTGTCTGCAAAGGCGGGTCCAGGACACCTGACTGGAATTATGAGGCAGCAGAGTGCAGTTTATGATCATTAATCAATGTAAAAAAGTAAAGAAAACAAATTAAAGCAAGTTAAAGTTTAAGATTTATGAGAAAAGTCAAAAAAGTCAAAGTAAAACAGATGTCCGTTTCATGACGTTCGTCGTTTGTTGTTTACTGTTATCTCTCTTTTGTTGTTGTTGTTGTTGTTTTTCACAGTGGTTTTTTACAGAGACAAACAAAAACTTTTAAAATTTCAGAGCAATGAGACTCAGAAGCCAGAGTGAAACTGAGGCTCAAACCTGCTGAGTGAGAGTTTTCAGCTGCTCGACACATTCCTACAGAACTGTGTGTGTGTGTGTGTGTGTGTGTGTGTGTGGGACAAGGCCACTGTGTTCCTGTTATGACAGCACTGTGTCAGGACATAAAGGTCCAACTAAAACACAGTTCTAACAAACCTCAATTCATTTAAAATGTTAAATTCAGTAAATGTGTTCTGGTTCAAAACAACTCCAAAAAATAAATATAGAATATTCCATAAAGTCACTGAATGCATCACTGTTCACATTTATTACCACAGCTACCATCTAAATGTCACTGAAAACATTTTCTTATAAAGCTCAGCTCGAAAGCATGTCATGTGTTGTGTTTGTGTCACATGACATTTTATAAAGATCAATAAAAACACTTAAATGGCATTAAAATCTTTGACCAGAGCAGAGGTGACTGAGCCTCAGGGAAGGTCACCGCAGGTCAGAGACCACAAACATTTTACTTTAACTGAATCAACCCTTGAAAAAAAAAACACACGCGGTTATCAATCAATTTGAGTGTATGTACCTGGCTAAAGCGGTTAAATTCACTAACCGGTTACAGCACTGTCATGTGTACTCCCACAGAACCTCAGATTAATGAGACAGTCATCCGTTTCTGCACCTACACATTCTTTATTGCAACACATTTTAAGGATTGTGTGTGTGTGTGTGTGTGTGTGTTATCTTTCTGTAGATCTCTCTTTCTCAGGTTACGAAACACTTATTTCCTTCGAAGGCTCCTCCACACCTGTCAGAAAATCACTTAGAGCCAGGTTTAAACTAAGCTTTTTGGAGTGGTTTGAATGTTTAAAATATCGTCAATCACTCCCGTGTCAAACGATCCTACGTTGAAGACAATGAGAGGACGGAGAAGGGACGTGCTTTCTCATGAATTTCTGAAAGTAAACTGAATTTTTACCTCTTGTGACAGGCCTCAGTTTGAAAACGTTGTGTGACAAACAGGTGAAAAGTGTTGGGAGTGGTTCTGACCAAAAGTATTCTGGGGAACACGCAGCAGTTTCTTGTGTCATTCTGTGAATGTTGTAATGTTGTCAGTGTACCATCCTTATCTTCTGAGTTACAGCCATACACTTCTCTGTGTGAGCCTCTGGTTGTCATAATGAGCTTCTTTAAATCACTTTTTATACGTAGTGATGTTGTGTAAGAAGGAATCAAGGGCAACGCAGGTTAAAAAAAATCTTCTCTGCCACATAAAGACCGTACTCCTTTCTATTTCTACATGATATTTTTTATTCCTTTTTATTTTTCGTTTACGGTGGAGGTGAAAAAGAACTACCTATAGGCTACCTGAGGCAGCAGAGATGTGTTTAAACTCTTTGCTCGTGTCACAACAGGGTGAATTCTTTACCTCCGTTCCCCTTCACCACAAACACCAAAAAATGTTTATTAGGTGTCAATTTAAACTTCATTTCCACTGGCCATCACACAGATCCGACCTGTTTCTGAACAGAGAGCTGTTTGTGTGTGTGTTTTCAGTGGAGCAGAGCTGAAAATCAAGAATGAAAAAAAAAAAAAAAAACAGGATCGGTAAGTGTTGACAGAGGAGGAGAGAAGGTGCAGAGAAATGAGGAATAGACGGGGAGATAATAAAGTTTGTAAGAGAATGCGAGGTTTAGATAGAAGGAAAAAAGTGAAAGATACGAGGAAAAAAAATGTAAGCGTGAAAGAAGGAATAATAAATATAACCAGAGGAAAGAAGAAAGGATTGGAAGTGTAAAAATAGAAAATTAATGCTCAGAAGAATGACAGTTATTATGGATGGAGGGGAAAAGAATGGAAATAAAATGATGATAACATAACCCTGGTCAGAAGATCTCTGTCATGTCTCAACGCCTGGTTCATGTCCACTCTTACTCTTCAGAAGGTTCTGCTTCACTGCTGCTTCTCTCCTCCTGTGTAACAGTGTGTCAGGGGACGAGCAATCAGATGACCCAGTTAGGAACTCGTGAAAACCACTACAACAATATCGTGAAGATGTACGCCAACTGTACGATGGTGCTGGAGAACCTGGAGATCACGCACACACGGGAGCACCAGGACTTGTCCTTCCTGCAGGTCAGACGCTCGAACCCGAAGATGAAGATGCAAAAGTTCCCTTTTTTAATTCCAACATTTCATCTTTTCGTTTTGTCTTTTTTCTTCTTCAGTCCATCCAGGAAGTGGGAGGCTACGTTCTGATTGCCATGAACGAGGTGGCGACCATCCCACTGGTCAACCTGAGGCTGATCCGAGGACGGAACCTCTACGAGGGTCAGTACGCTCTGCTGGTGGTCTCCAACTACAACCACTCCTCTGTCACACAAGGCTACAGCAGCGGCCTGAAGCAGCTGCAACTCAGCAGCCTGACTGGTACGACACACACACAACACACTTACTGTAGGTGTGCAGATTTAGTTGTAGCCCACAAGAGCAAGGTCTAACTGTCATTACCATCGTGACATCGACCTACTGACTGTGCACTTAGTTTTCAGTACCATATTTTTACAGTATAAGACGTACTGTAAGTGTGTGTAAAGATGAGGCGTGTCACAGTGGGTGAGGCTGATACGTTATTTTAAAAAGAGCTTCAGTCAACACTGCAGTGTCTTCTGGTATTGGACAACACCTGCACTCTCTACTCCAAGATTAACTGTTGTCATGCACAGATTCACAACGTGCGCAAACAGAAACATGACTTTTGCTGACAACCTGAGATGTCACCGTCAAATTTATTTAAAATCGATTTAGTTAAAATAGAAGAGAAAAAACTCAGTGAAGCTGCTCGACAGTCAGTGACCACCATGTCTGATTCTCTCCTGAATCCTACTCTACACTTTTCAGTAGGAGACAGATCTGGACTGCAGGCAGGACAGTCAATCCTGAAGACAAACATCTGTTTGTTTATATCTACTCCACAACGCCACTTACTGGATATTTTATCCTTCCTGTTAATACACTTTTTATTTTTTTTATTTTCCTCACAGAGATCCTGAAAGGAGGCGTAAAGATTACCCACAATCCCTTGCTGTGCAACACTGAGACCATCCAGTGGTGGGACATCATGGACAATGAGAGCAACCCCAACCCTAGCATTTTTTTCAAGAACGAAACATTTGACCGGAAATGTAAGAGCCATAAAAATAAATGTGACCTACAAATGACACTGTGGGGGGGACGGGGGATGCGTTGTTTTTTTTACATGCATGTATGTGTTTTCATAGGTGAGAAGTGTGACCCTGGGTGTGTAAGCGGTTCCTGTTGGGCAGCTGGGCCAGATCACTGCCAGATATGTAAATCTGACTCTTATTTCTGAGTTTTATTTTTGTTAACTTTAAACCTTCCTCTAAGTCTATGTCTCTCTCTCTCTTTCTCTCTCTCACCGGCTCTAAAACTCAGTGACTAAACTACACTGTGCCGAACAATGCAGTCATCGATGTCGTGGTCCTAAACCCATAGACTGCTGTAATGAACACTGCGCCGCTGGCTGCACTGGACATGAAGCCACCGACTGTCTGGTCAGTGTCACTGCTGCCTCCTCACGTCCACGCTGTTACGTCCTCGGTGGTGAACGCTGTTCCTTTTTCTTCCTCAGGCCTGTCGAGAGTTCAACGATGATGGCACGTGTAAAAACGAGTGTCCTCCTCCAACCATCTATGACCGAAATACCCATCAGGTTGTCAACAACCCCAAAGTAAAGTTCACATTCGGCGCCACCTGCCTTACTTCCTGTCCACGTATGAACTTTAATATTTAAGCACCTAAATGGAGTATGATGTGCAATAAGAAGTGACACCCCGGGACTGACCTGAGTGACGTCTCTGTGTGCAGATAACTATGTGGTAACAGGTGGTTCTTGTGTACGATCCTGTGGCGCCGGAATGTATGAAGTGGAGGAGAACGGAGTTCATCGCTGCAAGACCTGTAATGGACCCTGTCCCAAAGGTAGAGACCTGGAGACACAGCTCAACCTCAGTCCTCCACAGACGACTGTTGACATGTTGTAATGCGCAGCTTATTCAGTCGGAAATGCAAAGATCTGAGCACTCTTCTAAGTTTGTACCTTTCTTCAGCTTGTGATGGAATCGGCGTGGGCGCTCTGATTAACAGCATGGCAGTGAACGCATCCAACATTGAATCTTTCAGGAACTGCACCAAAATCAACGGCGACATTTCCATCATCGAAACGACATTCACAGGGTCAGACAGTTAACACACATCAGCTCAGCCATCGCAGCACAAGAGTAATCAGATCTGAATTATTCTGATTACCTGGCCTTACAAAAACCATGTGTTTTAATGTTAATGTTGTTCTGATTGGCTGTTGCAGGGACGCTCACTACAAGATCCCACCCATGGATCAGAGCAAACTGGAGTACTTCAGGACAGTCAAGGAGATCACTGGTAAAACCAAAGTTTGTTACTTTGTTAACAACCCTGAACTGTGTTCCTTCATGGAGAAAAGACATAATCTGACACCACAGGTTACCTGCTAATCCAGTCGTGGCCGGAGAATCTGACGTCTCTGTCTGCGTTTGAGAACCTAGAGATCATCAGAGGAAGAACGACATTCTCGTACGTTTCACATGCAGCCCCTGTTGTTGTCGTCGTTCTCCAGCTGTCATTGTCTGATTGTCTCGCCTGTAAAACCCTCAGACAGTACAGTGTGGCGGTGGTGCGGGCCAAGCACCTGCGCTGGTTAGGCCTGCGCTCTCTGAAGGAGGTCAGCGCCGGGCTAGTGATGGTGCGTGGCAACCCTGAGCTCTGCTACACCAGAGAAGACCTGTGGATACGCCTCTTCAGGACTGGTGACCAGAAAGTCACTCTACGCAGCAACGCAGCAGAGGACGTCTGTGGTGAGACTCTGACATCTGTGTCAGCCGACGGGAGTGACAGAGGAGGAGATGAAGGAGATGGATGAGATTTTTTTCTTTTTCTTTATCTGACAGAAAAACAGAACCAAACCTGTGATGCTCAGTGTTCAGATCAAGGCTGCTGGGGACCAGGTCCAGACATGTGTGTGTCCTGTAGACACTTTGACCGCAGGGGGCGCTGTGTGTCCTCTTGTAACCTCTTGCAAGGGTAAGAGAGAAAACACACTGCCACCTATAAAGATTACTGCTGTTTCCAGTCTGATTTAGCAGATGTCCCCTCTCTCTTTTCTCTACAGCACCCCTAGAGAGGTGGAGGTGAACAACAGCTGTAACCTGTGTCACTCCGAGTGTCTACAGAAGACTGGGGTCCTGACCTGCCACGGTCCAGTCAGTATCTGCTCAATGACTAACTTACTAGCAAAACTGTTCCAACTACTAAGTCTTTACCTCTTGCTGTCCTTTCTTCTGCCTTGTCTTCTCCTGCTTCCCTTTCTTCTACATCTCCTCCTGCTCCTCAGGGGCCCGACCAGTGTTCTCAGTGTGCTCATGTCATGGATGGTCCTCACTGCGTCCCTCGTTGTCCTCACGGTGTCCCCGGAGATGGAGACACCCTGATCTGGAAATATGCAGACTCCACAGGCCAGTGTCAGTCATGTGACCAGAACTGTACTGAGGGGTGAGGCCATGTTGGGGCTTATTAACTTTTCTTTATTTTCAGCACCGACCCGTTTCCAAGTTTTAAATGCATTAAAAAACACGTAAATTAGTTTATTGCGTCAAGGCTTTTTGACTTTGTCAAGAACCTCTATTTCAACAAAATAAAACAAAAAAATTTTTTTTCACTAAATTATAAAATGCTCTGGTTGAAATTATGACCAAAGGTCAAACCCCCTCAGCAACACAAAGAGCATCCACAACAGCTTCCTCCTCAGTCAGCCCTGCCTCAACACCAACCAGAACAGCCACAGCCACAACCCCACTCAGGCCACCTGATTCTAAAAGAAAGGTGTGTCAAGTCTGCCCAAGCAGTAAGGACAGAAAGACAAACGTATTGTGCTTCAAGTGCAAGAAATATCTCTGCAAAGAACACACTAAAAGTGTCACTTTTTGCCACACATGCATCTAAACACACACACATACACATGCATGTTCTTGCACACAGAGACTTTTACTCTGATTTGGTATTTTGGTTTGATTTGCTGGATTGGTTGTTGCAAATCTATATTTTGTGTTATGGCCTGTTCTGCTTTTCATTTTGTGTTTATATTAAAGTTCTATTGCTGAAAAAAATACTTTTTTGCCTTTTTCTCAAAGTAAATATATATGGGTCGAATGGGTCTTATTTAAGAGATGTGTTCTAATAGTGCTTAGTAATAGTCAGGTAACACAACAACCTTTTATTTATTTATATGATTCTGTTGAGGTTCATGTGAGGTTCGTGTGTATGTGTGTGTGTGTGTGTGCAGATGTACCTGTCCTGGACTGTCCGGATGTAAAGGGTAAATATTCTGTATTAAAACACTATCATCTTTAAAAAAAATCACGTTCACTTCTTAATAAATATTTTTTAATTTTCTCCATCTGTTTTTTTTTTTTACCACAGATCTGTCAAACACTCCACCATGGCGGTGGGTGTGGTCAGCGCACTCCTGATCGCTCTCATTTTGTCACTTCTTGTCTTTGTGCTGCTGCGCCGAAAACAAATCAAGAGAAAAAGGACACTACGACGCCTCCTACAGGAGAGGGAGGTAAGGAAAATCTGTTGATACATGAACTGTTCCTGTGTGTGATGTCACTGGTGATGCCTGTGTGTTTCAGCTGGTGGAGCCCCTGACTCCCAGTGGGGAGGCTCCCAACCAGGCCCTGCTGAGGATCCTGAAAGAGACCGAGTTTAAGAAGGTTCGAGTCCTTGGTTCTGGAGCCTTTGGAACTGTCTATAAGGTCAGTCGTGATGTCACTTCCTGAGGAGCTGGAGGATGATTCCGTCCTAAACATCATGTTGTCATGTTTTCCAGGGTCTGTGGATTCCTGAAGGAGAAAACGTGAAGATTCCGGTCGCCATCAAAGTTCTCAGAGAAGCTGCATCTCCAAAGGCCAACCAGGAAGTTCTGGACGTGAGGCTCCTCCTCCTGACTACTGACTTTTTCTTTCCTTTTTCCTTATATTGGACTGATTTATGCAATAATCTGACCACAGTTTGTTTGAGGGCTCTTTTTGCATAACTTTGTGTTTTATATTTTATATTTTCTAAACATGTTTTTAGCAAAAATGTTTAGAAAAACTATTTGAAGAGAAATTTGAACAAATATTTAGTTTATTTGTTTTAGGTAAGAATGTTTTGTTTAACTGCAGCTTCACTGCTAACTTAATTTAGTTTATTTGTTATAGGTGGCAGTGTGTTTAACTGCAGCTTCACTGCTAACTTTTATTAATGTTCCAGATGATGTAAAAGTTACATTTATTTTTCTGATAATTTTTTGGCTAGATGGCACTATTTTTTTCTTAGTTTTTTTTTAAACTTTTGTTACATTTTTTTTATGACATCATCTGTATCTGTGTGTTCAGAGCAGAGAATCCTGGGTTCAATTCCCAGAGGAACCACATGCTTGGCACCTGCTGGGGGCAGCCTGTTAGCAACATGTCTGCTGCTAACACAAGAATTCACAAGGATTTTTCAAATATGGGATCAATATAGTTCAATTTTTTAATTTTTCCAGGAGGCGTATGTGATGGCCAGTGTTGATCACCCACACGTGTGTCGTCTTCTTGGAATCTGCCTGACGTCGTCAGTGCAGCTGGTGACTCAGCTGATGCCTTATGGCTGTTTACTGGACTACCTACGACACCACAGGGAGAACATCGGTGCTCAGTGGCTCCTCAACTGGTGTGTCCAGATTGCTAAGGTTAGTTTTTTTTACTTTTTCTGTTAACAGAGATACAACAACTGTAGAGAACGTCTAAACGGAAATACATTGTTCTTCTTTTTTTTCCTGCACAGACACTACTAATTCATTATTGCCAAATGTGGTTTGTCTCACTGTGGTTCATCTGGAAACAGTGTGTAAAGCATAGTTAAAGCATGTGTTGATAATAAATACTGGTTTTCTCTGTTGGGCTTTGGAATTCCAGGATTAATTGTTTATAAATCTAATTTCATGAACCCAAGGAGTCCGTCTGTACGCTCTTTAGTTTGATCTCTGAGCACTGTTTATTTTTGTGGGCTAAACATTAATCTGTCTAAAGATCAATATGGGGATATTTAAGTTCTTGGAAAATCTCTCACAGCAAGGTCAGCTGTAGCGCCCTCCTGTGGTTAAATTAAAACAAAACGTGTGAACAACGAGAGAGATAAACTGAACTCTCCCCACACTCATGAGGTATTTTTTAATTATTAAATATGAGGCATTATATTTTAACTTTTCAAAGTCACTAACTACTGTTGAAAAGGAAAATATTAAATTCAAACATTTTTTATTTACTAAAACATTTCATGGTAGATTATTTCAATTCTAGTTTATAAAAAATAAAAAACGATTTACTGTTCCTCATCTGGGCTACATATCAGTATTTCAGAGACATTGTTTTTGTGTTTGGGTTCTTGTGAACAGGGCATGAGTTACCTGGAGGATCGTCACCTGGTTCATCGAGATCTGGCAGCAAGAAACGTCCTGGTCAAAAATCCAAACCACGTCAAGATTACAGACTTTGGTCTTGCAAAGCTGCTGACCGCCAATGAGAAGGAATACCACGCAGATGGAGGAAAGGTGTGTGTGTTTGGTTTACCCTCCGCTGGACAGTATTTAGTGATTTTTTTTCTTCCTTTGTTTCTGTTTGAATCTAAGGTTAATACATAACTGTGTCTCTGAATGCTTATAATTTACCCTAGCACTTTTGTAGGTAACCAACAGGGGGAGCTACTCTAATAATATAAGTGTTTGTTGAAGATATCAAATATCAAATTTAGAAAAAAAAAATTAGATTTGACTTTTGACCTTAGAATGCATTTCCTGTTGGTTACTTCCTGTAGGTTCCCATCAAGTGGATGGCGCTGGAGTCGATCCTTCAATGGACGTACACACACCAGAGTGACGTGTGGAGCTACGGTCAGATCAATCCCCAATAATAGTCTTAATCCACAGGCTTATCCTTCCATTTCTAAGATTGTTACAGTGTTTAATCATAAATGTAAAAACAAACGTATAATTCCAAATAAAATAAATGATACATTCTATATATGCAGGAGCTGGGTTTAATTCTGACTTAAATAATCTTGTTTCCCAGGAGTAACGGTGTGGGAAATCATGACCTTTGGGTCAAAGCCCTATGATGGAATCCCAGCCAGTGAGATTGCTACAGTCCTGGAGCAGGGAGAGCGTCTGCCACATCCGCCTATCTGCACCATTGACGTTTACATGATGATGGTCAAATGTGAGTCAGAACCTAGAGCTAAAACATTTAGCAGCAGTGATCACACTGACCGTGGCCTGTTCCCTGACCTCAGGTTGGATGATAGATCCGTCCAGTCGTCCCCAATTCAGGGAGCTGACAGTGGAATTTTCTAAAATGGCCAGAGACCCGTCCAAATATCTAGTGATTCAGGTACAGCCCTCTCTGATACCCCATCAGGGTCTGTCTGGTTTGATGGGATTTGGTGACAGTTTCCCTTTGACCTGTTGTCACAGGACAATCTTCCCAGTCCATCAGACAGAAGGTTTTATTCCCGTCTGCTGAGTGCTGATGATACTGGGGACATGGTGGACGCTGAGGAATATCTGCTGCCGTACAAAGGCCTGACTAACCACCAGGACCAACCCTGCAGTGCCACGGTGCAGACTCTCACACTTCACTGTAGTCAATACAAAGAAGACCATCTAACTACCTTCTTAAGATCAGGTTTTTAAAGAAACATTTGATTTGATTTTTGTCAGAATGGTCGAATGGTCAGAGAAAACAGCATTGCTCTGCGATATATCACTGATCCAACCCAAAACCAACTGGACAAAGAGGATCATGGTAAGAATGGAACTTAATGGAACTCACTATTAAATCATCTAACCTGTTCTAACTTAACCAAACTAACCAAACTGATCAGCCTGAATGCTCGATAGAATTCTAACTTAGACTACATCATATCATCTGATCCAAAGTAATCCACAGTAGCCTGACTAACTCCAAACTAACTTTTACTAAAACCAAGTAAAAAGTAAAACCAAATGTGTTATCCTACCATAGCATATAAAGACTAGTTTAGTCTGACAGTAATGAACTCTTAACCCATGTTGAAGCAGAAACCCACCCTTTAGTTAGCAGATGAACAGTTGTTTTTCTTGCAGACTACATGAACCAGACACCTGATGAAACCAGACGCAGCAGCAGCAGACTCTCTGAGGCTCTCAGTCCACACCAGAGGGACTTAAATCTGGACTGGGGTGCAGCCTCTCTACCAGTTTACCATGAGGCAGCAAAAGCTGCAGGACCTGAATACTTGAACACCCCTCAGAACGTTCTACCCCAGGCCACTGGGGACAATTTAGATAACCCAGAGTACCAGGCAACTTTCCTGCCTCAAGCCTCATCCACTTCCTTTAGTCCTAATCCTACGTTTTCACCAGCTGCCGAGAACATGGAGTACATGGGTCTAGGTGCTGCACTACATCATCCTGTCCGCTAGAGGGCAGAAACGTTAAGACTTGTTTTTCAGAGATTTTCAGAGGATCAGGATGTGACAAGTTGTGTTGTTGACTCGAACGCTCCCCTCTGTCACTGCACTGTCCGGGAGAGCGCTTTTGAGACACCGGGTCAAAATGTTTGACGTCACTGACGTCATGTGCTCCGTGAACTTCCCTTTACGTCAGTATTTATTTTGAAAAAGGCACTAGAGGAATGAAACCAGGAATTTACGAGGAACTGTTTAAAATGTACAAAGTTTCTAAACTGCTTAGTGAATGAAAATGTAGCATCTCATAATTGTTGCAGAACCATAGCGACTTGAGTGGTGTTGAAGCACATGGACTCCCTCTGCTGGTAGTGTGAAGCTCTGCAATATGTTTTACAATTTTTTTTAAAATTTGATTTGCCATATTCAATTTTACAGAACATACAAACTTTTTCCCAAAGAAATACACAAATTCAGTTAAATGCCACTTTAACTGTGTCTGTCGTAAATAAACCATAAATTAAACTAAGATAAATTAATTAAAAGACACAACTTTAATCCCTAAAATTCTAAATTTATTCTGAAATGTTGTTGAGCTTCCTTTACCAAGTCAACCTGGGTTTTTTTTGTGAAACATGGTGTTGGCACCACACCCTAAACTTTGTGAATGTTTATGTTTCTATTTGTGTAGCATTTTATCATGAATGTTTGAATGTGAAACGAGCTGAATCGTGGTTATGAGTTGAAATGCTGATGTTGCGACGTAGACTAGGATAGTTTTAGTTTTTTCCTTTTTGCAGATTTTGCATAGAAAAAAAAGCTAAATTTGATCATTGATGTGACATGAAACAATTTAGTTAAGACAAAAACCAAATTTGAGAAATTCAGTCGTTTTCAGCTGAAATTCTCATCAGACAATCGCTGGTTTGTTAATGTGACTTTATTTGTTAAACTCCTACTGTGACCGTGACACTGTTGTTTAATTCAGCTTTATTAAATCAGGGTTTATTCTAACAGTTTCTCTTTTTCCTTTTTGTTAGTCAACCCTCAGACAGGATGCCCCCTGCTGGCAGTGAGAAGCTACAGGCAGAGCTACACTGATGTGTAAGGAGTTATCCAGATAACCTCAGGTTTAAGGTCTGTAATTATCCAGTCAGTGTAACGTTTACCTGGCTAGTTAAGATCAAACTCCTTGTTACCTAACAGCTAATTAAGATTTAAATGTGTGGTGACGTGTATCCAGTGAATGAAGGGAACCTAGTGGTCATTGATATAATTTTTCTGACCTCAGGTTCACCTGCTTCAGTTTCCATCTGCTCTATGACCTACTGTAACAAAACTCTTAACTTCAACTACAGTTTCATCATCACACACACAAAACACACACACAGAGGAAATGTTTGGTAAAAATCCTGTTTTCTTATTTGAGTTTATTTACTGAACATGATGACATCAGTGCAGGGCGGGGTCTGTAGTAATCAAAGGAGTGGGACTTTAGAAATAGTTGACCACTCGGCGTATGGACTGGATGTTGGGGTTCTGGGCCTGCCATTCGTTGTGGCTGCAGTAGTTGCCGCGCTCTACGATGTACATGCGGCCGCGGAAGTTTGGCTCCTCGTACATGACCCAGCTGCAAAGACACGTGTTCACGCAGAGAGGCAAATAAATGATAACCCAAAACTGCACTTCCATAGATACTGGTAATCAAATTAAGAGTGTGTTGGGGTGTGTGTGCGTTGTCGTGTAACACTTACGCTCCGTCTCCGTACACTCTGACTGAGTTGATGCAGTTCTTGCTGAAGCCTCGGCTCTGCAGGAATGGACAGTCATCGCAGATTTCCACGCACTGACCAGAGAAGTTGCAGCTCTCGAACAACTCAATGCGATAATGTTCTCCATGCTAACAAAAAAACAAACAGAAAAAACAGTGACATAGTGTAAAACCACTGGATAAAAGAAATGGGTTTTTATAAACATATTTGTTGTTGAAATGTCAAAGTTGAAACTAAATGACTGTAGGTGTTTTTTATTTGATGTTGGTCAAAGTCTTAATTGTTGGCATGGATCTTGTGTAGCTAACTAATGCTGTTAGAAGTCTGTTAGAAATTTCAACTGAAACGAATCACTGCTGCATTTAAATGAAGGAAAGAAACCAAATTCCAGAAGAATTGCAGGGACAATTACAAAAAGAAATCACAGAACACAATATTCTGAGTGTCATGTACCATACGGATGGGTTTACAAGAGCCCATGTGATCATTGTGGGAGTTCCATCTCTGGAATTCTGGGTACTCTCCATGCTCCAAGATGTACTGCTGCCCCTTGAAGTCAGGATGGTCATAGCAGATCCAGGCACCGCTCTCCACACGGATGGAGTTCACTCTTACAGCACAAGGAAACGGGATGACATGTCAATAAAACGGGCCGCTGAAGATAAACTCAGGAGTAGAGATGATAGCGACGCTTGTAAGTCAGAAATTTGGGTGACATTAAGTGGTGAAACTGCGTATTACAGCTCAAAACTTATTTACAGGCTTAATTTCTTTCTTCATTTTCATAGTTAAATAATGTATAGAACTAAAAAAAAAAATCCAAACTGGTCCTCAAAAAATAGACTTGATCAAAACATGATCATTAAAAATCCTGTTTGAATTCCATGTTACCTGTTCATAAAGCCACGGTCCTGGAAGTTGTCACAGTCACCTCTGACCTCCAGCTTTCTGCCGGTGAAGCACTTCCCCTCATAGAAGGTGATCTAGGACATATTGAAATGCATTTATGTTAAGAATGTAATTGATAGAAACATTTTTTTCAATAATGCTTAGCCAGATTGTTTAGGGCAAACCCAGGATGACATCATAATACATTACTAGACATTAAATTGAATTTTTTTAATAATCACTGAGTTGTTAAAGCAGAGACTAAAACTTGTTTCAAAATCAAGGTTTAAATGTCAAACCAACCCTGAATGAAAAGTCAGTGTGCTCACCTTTCCAGAGTACTGGGACATGTTTGTCCACTGGTGTCGTCCAACCTGTCACTACAACACAAAACACGCGTGCGAGGTGTAGGACATGAAAAGTTGGACCCCCCAATATATATGAGAGAGGGATGAGGTCCACACTTCACAGGACAAAGGGCGGGATGAAATGGTACGTGCTGAATCCACACTTTCCCTTCATCTGCTGCTGAGTCTGCTGTGTGAATGTGTGTGTGTGTGTGTGTGTGTGTGAGAGAGAGAGAGAGCATTCTCAATAGCTTTGCAGGGTCAGTGATATTCCGTGTACCTTGTGTCTATGTAACCACAAGCCCTCTGTCCATCTGCCAAAAACATTGTTCTGTCTTTTTTATTTGACTCAAAATACAAACTGTGATTTAGAAAACTTTTACAAAAAGTACTGTATAAACCAACTAGTAGCCATCAGATCACATGGATATATATATATATCTATATCTATCTATCTATCTATCTATAGATCTATATATATATATATATATAGTATATATAGTCTATCAAAACGAGCTATATTTATGTATGTATGTATGTATATATGTGTATGTACGTAAATGTGTGTAAATTCTCACTGGAGCAGTGACGACACTCATGCAGCTGCTCTCGCGAGATCTGGCAACGCTACTCTACCCTACCCTACCCTAAGCTAAGCTAAGCTAATTGTTACTACTCCCCTCAGCTCGCTTTCCTGACCTTCTGGAACCGCCTATATCCTACCGTTAAATGGCTGCCGCGACGCTGCGTTGCTACTCTCTGTGGAGACAGTTAACGCCAAAAAGGTAATTTAACTTCTACGATTCTCTAACTATCCGACGGGGATAATACAGCTTCGTTGAACAAAATCGCTGAAATGTTTGAGCTCATAGCTAATGGTAACGCTAACGCTTGTCTCCGCGGTTTGCCTGCTAGCTAAAGCTGAGCTAAACTATGAACAGTTTAGCTCAGTAGTCATTGTACGTTAAGTTACGAAACACGACAAACACAGAATTCTGAAATGCTGATGAACTTCAATAAAGTGTATTTGGAGTAGTGTTCGAGCTCACAGCTGCTGATATATTTGTTGTTATGTTACTGTAGTCGGCGTTTGTTTGACCTAATTGTCCCTGGAGGAAATCAAACAACGCTGTATTTGGATACACACCTATAGTATATATTTGCTGTACTCTACACCACTAGTTAGAACTGAAGAAGCCTCTTGGATGAGAGGTGAAACGACTTCTTTTAGAAAATTCACGTCCAGTTCCCTAACAAAACTTTTTAAAAACTTGACCATGACCTGGATGACTAACAAAACTTTTTTGAAACTTGACCATGACCTGGATGACTGTGAATCTTCATAGACCACCGTATGAAGGTGTTTACCGAAGCTTATTAAACAATGTTTTCCTAAGATGTAAATATGATGAACTATTGCTGAGTTCTACTTTACAAAAACAACAACAACAACAACAACAACACAAACTGTAGGTTAGTACAGGTTTATTTTCCTTCTTTATTTAGATCCACTCAGTATTAGACCTAATGCAACATGTTTAATAAAAATAAACAATACGTTTTTTGCTGTGAGTTGATTGTGTTATAATTCATCTCACATTTTAGAACAAATCCAGAGCTTCACAGCACGTCTTTTATTATAACCACAGCCTTATGTGCTGTTGTTAGCTAAATCCTCTTATATAGTTTCTTTTATCTGTTTTTTGCAGTCTCTGTTTCTGTTGTTGAGTCTTATCCTGTGTGTCTGCAGCTCAGTTCGACTTCTTCCTCTCTCTGTTGTGAAGATACACACCTCTGCACCTCGTGTGATGGGTAAGACTCCTCCATCTGCTGCGTTGCTTGCGATGAGTTGTTTAAGCTGCTGCCAGGTATTGACACGATTCCTCCCTCTCTGCAGGTGCTACCGTGGAGCAGTTTGAGCGAGCTAAGAGCCAACTGTCGATGCTGCAGAAAGATCCAGGAAACCAGGTCAAACTGAAAATGTACGGGCTCTTCAAACAGGTGAGACACTGTTTCCCCCAAAGCCACAGCTGTAAATATTCAACGCTGTAAACCTAAGACTGAGTTTCCTTCAGGCCACTCAGGGTCCCTGCAACACCCCCAAACCTGGAATGATGGACTTTGTAAACAAGGCCAAATGGGAAGCATGGAAATCTCTGGGTTCCATTCCACAGGTAACAGTGATGTAAATGAAAAAAGAAAATCTGTCAGAGTTGTTTTTTATTATTTCTCTCACTGGATCCAATTTCAAATATAAACCAAAATATGTGACTTCTACAGGAAGATGCCAGGCAGCAGTACTGTGATTTGGTTGTGTCCCTGATGGATGCAGAAGGACTTAGTTCCACCGCTGAGACAGCTGCAAAGCCTTCTGGGAGCACGTCAGGGTTTAACTCCTTGTTAGTTACAACAGAGGATGGAATCACTACCATCAAAATGAACCGACCAGCCAAAAAAAACGCCATCACCAATGAGGTGAGTTTGAGAAACTGTACTGGCCCTGAGTCGCCACTTGGTGTCAGTGTGTAGCTACATTTCAAAGATAAAAGTATGAAAGTAACAAAAATCTACAGAGCCCCTAAAGTGACATGGGGAAAAAAAAGAAGAGAAACGTATCTCGTGCTCACGATATACTTTCTTGTGCTCACGAGAAATATATCTAAGACATTTTGGCTCGTTTACACGATTCAGATGAATTGTACATTATGCTTGGCTTGAGGCATGGTGAGATTTTACAAATATTGGGCTCTGTGGATGAGATTTTTTATTAGTATGCGTACTCTCAGAAGGATGAGGAGGATGAAGGATGAGGATGATTTACGTATATACGTGTTTACCCTTCACGAACCTCCCTACACTGTTATCAACAGTAGAACAACAACAACAATAATATACAAAATCTAACTGAGGTATCGTACATTAATTAAATGCTCACTATATATACAGTACATATTTCACGCATGACATGCCTGTGTCTTAGATTTCCCAACTGTACGTACTGTACATGATTGTTTGTTATTTTAATGTATTACCCTGTATGGGTAACACTGTATGTGTGGCAAAATGTCTTAGATATATTTTCTCGTGAGCACGTGAGAAAGTATCTAGTGTGCACGAGAAACGTTTCTCTCTTTTTTTTTTCCATGTCACTTTAGGGGCTCTGTAAAAATCTAATAATTTGTAAAAAAAAAAAAAAAAACTTAAAACAAACAGGGTACATTCATTCTTTTATTTAATGATATAAACATTTAAAAAAACATCTTGATTATTTTTAAATAACTCTAACTCCTTTGTTAGACATTGTACAGCATGCAGTTTAAATGTTAGAATAATAAATTTTAGTTTAATAAATAGATTTTTTTTTTTAACAAACAAAAAAGATTAGAAATAAACAAAATAATCTAAAATTAAAGACAAAAATGTGTTTTTATATTTTTATTATGTCATCTGATTCATGTATTCTGCTGCCTAGTTAATCAGGATTCTTTTCAAATAATAAATAATATACAAAAAATCTCCTCTTCAATTCATTTAAAAAATATTTTTTAAGAAACATCTTAGATCCAAAAATTCATCCAAAATTTTTTTCTGGTTTTGTGTCAGGCGTTAAAGGGATGATGTGTGATTATCGAAATATAATTATTGTTTGGCTTAATGTATTACATCTTCTGTTTACAGATGTACAATGAGATCATTGCAGCCCTGGAGCAGGCAGCAAAAGATGATTCAGTCATCACTGTTTTCACAGGTACACAGACACCCACCAACCAACATCACTGTTGTAGACAAGCAGGCAATGAGGAAACCCCTCACTGGGGGTCAGCTTGGATCAGAGTAGTAATGACCTTTTACTGACCCTCTCTCTCTCTCTCTCTTCCTGTGTTCTAAAGGTGCTGGTGATTTTTACTGCAGTGGTAACGACCTCAACAACTTTCAGCTCGACGGCACAAAATCAGTGGAGGAGAAAGCCAAGGATGGAGCAGAGCTGCTGAGGTACAGCCGCTACACCACCCCCTCATCTCTCCTCTATTTTAGAGATACTTTCTCGTGCTCACGAGAAAATATATCTAAGACATTTTGCCACACATACATACAGGGTAATACATTAAAATAACAATCATGTACGCGTGGGAAATCTAAGATACCGGCATGTTATGCGTGACGTGTACTGTATATATGGTGAGCATTTAATGAATGTAGGATACCTCAGTTAGACACTGGAGGGCGCTGTTGTTGTTCTACTGTTGATAACAGTGTAGGGAGGTTCGTGAAGGGTAAACGCATATATACGTAAATCATCCTCATCCTTCATCCTCCTCATCCTTCTGATAGTACGCATACTAATAAAAAATCTCATCCACAGAGCCCAATATTTGTAAAATCTCACCATGCCTCAAGCCAAGCATAAAGTACAATTCATCTAAATCTTGTAAACGAGCCATATTCTTGGCTCGCATGTGGATCATTTCATTCATTTTAATTTTATTTATAGAGCGCATTTCATGCACAAAGTAAACTCAGTATGCTTTACAGATATCACGAAATTACGTGAAAGTTGTCACGAAATACACTGGTCTCAACTGTGATAGGAGGGCACAACAACAGTGCCCTCCTGTGTCTAACTGAGACACATACATTAATTAAATGCTCACCATATATACAGTACATATGTCACGCATGACATGCCGGTGTCTTAGATTTACCAACCGTACGTACTGTACATGATTGTTTGTTATTTTAATGTATTACCCTGTATGTATGTAAAAGGTCTTAGATAGACTTTCCTTTCTCATGCTCACAAGAAAGTATCTAGTGCGCACAAGATACGTTTCTTTTTTCTTTTTTTTTCCCATGTCACTTTACTTTTTTTTGAGGCTCTGTACTCAATTGTCCTTTTTGTATTTATTTATTTTTCTTCTTTTGGGCAGGAAATATGTGAAGGCCTACATTGACTTCCCAAAGCCTCTGGTCGCTGTGGTGAATGGTCCAGCTGTTGGAATCTCAGTGACAGTATTGGGACTCTTCGACCTGGTCTACGCCAACGACAAGGTAAATACATACACGTATTCTTCAAGATACCAGCCCCCCCCCCCCCCTAAAATACAAGTTTTCCAAGCTACGAGTATTCAAGTTTTAAAAAGTTCTGTTAGGGAACTGGACGTCAATTTTCTAAAAGAAGTCGTTTCACCTCTCATCCAAGAGGCTTCTTCAGTTCTAACTGGTGGAGGAGAGTACAGCAAATATACAGTGGTATGAAAAAGTTTGGGCACCCCTGATCATTTTCAAAATGTTCCTTTATGTATCATTGGTTGTTTGGAACAGCAATTTCAATTAAATATATCATATAGCAGACAAACACAGTGATATTTAAGAAGTGAAATGAAGTTTCACAAGGACAATGTTCTGGAATGGCCATCTCAGTCCCCAGACCTGAATATCAGTGAAAATCTGTGGTCTGTTTTAAAGCGGGCTGTCCATGCTCGGAAACCATCAAACCTGACTGAACTGGAGATGTTTTGTAAAGAAGAATGGTCAAAAATACCTTCAACCAGAATCCAGACCCTCATAGGAAGCTATAGGAAGCGTTTAGAGGCTGTTGTTTCTGCAAAAGGAGGATCCACTAAATATTGATGTAATTTTTCTGTTGGGGTGCCCACATTTATGCACCTGCCTACTTTTGTTTAAGTAATTATTGCACACTTTCTGTAAATCCTATAAACTTCATTTCACTTCTTAAATATCACTGTCTTTGTTTGCTATATGATATATTTAATTGAAATTGCTGTTCCGAACAACCAATGATCCATAAAGGAAAATCTTGAAATTGATCAGGGGTGCCCAAACCTTTTCATACCACTGTATACTCTAGATGTGTATCCAAATACAGCGTTGTTTGATTTCCTCCAGGGACAATTAGGTCAAACAAACGCCGACTACAGTAACATAACAACAAATATATCAGCAGCTGTGAGCTCGAACACTACTCCAAATACACTTTATTGAAGTTCATCAGCATTTCAGAATTCTGTGTTTGTCGTGTTTCGTAACTTAACGTACAATGACTAAATTCATAGTTTAGCTCAGCTTTAGCTAGCAGGCAAATCGTGGGGACAAGCGTTAGCATTAGCTATGTGCAAGAGCTCAAACATTAGCGATTTTGTTCGACTAAGCTACATTATCCCCATCAGATAGTTAGTTGCTGTACTCTCCTCCACCAGTTAGAACTGAAGAAGCCTCTTGGATTAGAGGGGAAATGACTTCCTTTAGGAAATTCACGTCCAGTTGCCAAACAGAACTTTTTAAAACTTGTTTTCTTAATTATTATCAGTTTTTATTATCAATGTTTATGCTTATATCCATGTTTTTGATGTTTAGATTGGGGGGGGGTTAAATTAATTAATAGTATATTTCTGGGGGGCTGCAATTGGTTTTTAGTTATTTTTAGCTGATGTCCAGATTCAGGCTAAATCAGTTTAAACTAAAAACAAAATGTAGACTTTGGACTGTTGTATGTTGCAGTATGTTGATGTTATAGATAAGTATAAATATATAATATATCTAACAACACAAATGTTTTTTTGGAAAGCTTCACTTTTATTTATAATGTACACAGAAAACGTAAAACTTAGGAATTGATGTCATCATTCACAAAACATAAAATCACATTCAAAGTTTTTTTCTTCTTCTATCTAAGTTACATAATGTGTTTTCAATTCTTCTAGGCCACGTTCCACACTCCCTTCAGTCAGCTGGGTCAGAGTCCTGAGGGATGCTCTTCCTACATCTTCCCAAAGGTCATGGGTCCAGCCAAGGTAGATGAAGACACACACACACTCCTGTCCTCTCCTCACCTACAGGAAGCTGTCTCCCCCCAACCCCGCCCCCATCATCCAAAATATTATAAGAATGTTGTTGTTCGTTTGTGCTGTAAAAATAATTGAAGAATACAATTTTTGACCTGTGACGCCATGTATGTCTCTTGGAGAGATTTGGATGTGGAGGTGGTACTGCATGATGTCACAAGTCAGAAAATGTATTTTTTAATTACTCCAGAGCTTTAATAGCACAAATGACATTTTTGGATGATGGAGGGGGATGCGGAGCTTCCTGTAGATCCTCTCCTCTGGTGAACCTCTCTCCTCTTTGTGCCTTTTTTTAGCCCTGTGGAATAACCATAGGCAAAATTCAATGTAAAACACACATGCAATCAAAAGGTACAGCTGTGAGGTTTCTAATAACTACATATCTCCCCCTACAGGCCAGTGAGGTGCTATTGTTCAACAAGAAGCTCACAGCAGTTCAAGCCTGTGAACTAGGGCTTGTCACAGAGGTTTTTCCTGACAGCAGCTTCCAGACAGAGGTTTGGCGTCGACTGAAAGCCTACGCTAAGCTACCACCCAATGTAAGTATTACATGAAGTCATGTGTATAATTGTGGATATTCTCAGTCATAATAATAATAATCTCCAAAGCAGTGTTAAAGCAGTCGACTGGACTGACCTCAAGTTGAAGAGTTGTTTCTCTTCTAGACAGTTGTTTATTGTAGATATGTCAGAACTCTCCAACAGACCACATGACTGCATCTCCAAAGCAGTCGACTGGACTGACCTCAAGTTGAAGACTTGTTTCTCCTCTCATCCAACAGGCTTCATCAGTTCTACTGTCCTGGTGGGGAGGTTCCAGGTATTTATCCACCCCAGAGGGGGGTGTGGTGTGGGGTAAAGTGCACAATGCTGTCCTTAGTTCTCTCCACAGGAAGTGCAGCTGTAATTCACAACTCCATCCAACGACCCCCACCCAGAGGACAGGGAGGGGGAACGATCCACATGTCCACTTTACCCCACACCACACCCCCCTCTGGGGTGGATAAATACCTGGAACCTCCCCACCAGGACAGTAGAACTGATGAAGCCTGTTGGATGAGAGGAGAAACAAGTCTTCAACTTGAGGTCAGTCCAGTCGACTGCTTTGGAGATGCAGTCATGTGGTCTGTTGGAGAGTTCTGACATATCTACAATAAACAACTGTCTGTTCTTACCCAGAGTTTGAAGTTGTCGAAACAGCTGATTCGCTCGGAGGAGAAGGCGCGTCTCCACGCAGTAAACGATGCAGAGGTGAACCTGCTGCGGGAGCGCTGGACGTCAGATGAGTGTGCCAACGCCATTATGAGCTTCTTCATGTCCAAAGCCAAACTCTAAGAGGAGCAGCTCTTCAAATGCCATGTGATCAACCGGGTCTACGCACATTGAGTGTCCTGCAGAGTCCAGAAACAAATGTATGTCGTTAAAGCATCATGCTGTGAGAGGACACAAAAAGTTAAATTAGCATCATGGTAACAGGAATAGCTGCTGTACAATATGATGTTGTCTGACCTAGTCAATTACAGTTCAACCTTTTAGCGCTGTTTCAAGTGCCTTAAACTAATTATCTGTTAAATAACTGTCTTTGTAATTTTTAACATGTAAATCATGTATGTATTTAAATACAGAACAAAGAATGACTAAAATCACAATTTTATCCAAGGAAAAAATATTTTGTCATATTTAACACAAATGCACCTAAATTTTTGACAATCAAGAAAAATTGGGTTATTTTAAAAGCCATAATATGTAACTTTAGGATGATTTTAGAGAATAAATACTTAGTTGTATATTTAACACAAACAATAATTTCCTACATTTGTTTTAAGGTGGTATCATGTGTAGTCACATGTTTCACCACAAGAGGGCAGCAGTTCTCTCTAATAAAAATTATTTGAGCTAAAGCTGGGACTCTTAGGGAGTTCGAAGCTGGCATAAATCTAATTTAACAACAACTACATTCTGCAAATGGGATTGAACCTAAATTATAAACTCACCTTCTTGATACCTTTACTGTGTGACCAGCGTCCTTTTCTGCAGCAGCTGTAGTTTGAGTTAGACAGTGAGCAGGTTGTTGAAGTGGTGTGGTGTTTTTCTTTATCCATTCATAATGACCTTGGCCTTAAAGAAGTGAAAGAAAGATTTAGAGAAGACAATGGAAGACAAGATCTGCTGGTTAACTATTGAGACACTGGAAAAATAGGGAAAATGTCTTTCCCCAAGAGGGAGCGTTAGATAAAATAATTAAGAACCATCCAGCAGCATGTTTTAGGACATAGTCT